TCTCTTAACCCCTGCAATTTCCACAGGCTAGGATTTGACTTAGCTTTCAATATATTTCTGGTTTATTCTGGTTTTTCTGGCATATTGACTGCCCTAGAAGGAATTGTATGTTTGCCTTTTGTCATCCATTCTCACATTTCTCTTGACTAGAACACCTCCCTTATTCTAATAGCATTCTTATGTTTCCACACACCATATTGTCTGATGCTTCCAATTTAATTAAATATATTGGTAAAATTACTCAACTGGAGAGTTAACATTAAATGATAGGAGTTGGGTTTCCCCACCCCTTAGCAGAACTGTGTTCGGAAACATTGAAACATAAATATTTCAGGTATATTAGTAATGTTGAGAAGAGACTTGTCTTGTCATGCATTTATGATAACCATCCATGCCATATATGGTTCTCTGTTTCCTGCAGTCACTGCTGAGCCATTTCCAACTAATCACTTAGAATACAGTCATTTAAAGCATCCTTTATTAATATCAGCACAGACATGTGAATAATCTTTCTAAAGCTGACTGGTCAAGTCCAAATGCCCCTCATTTATTTATTATATTCCTATCCCACCTTTCCTCCATTTTAAACGCAAGGTGGCTATACACAGTCCCCAAGTGCTCTCCCCTCCAAGCTCAGACAGAGAGAGGCCAGGCAAAAGTATTGGAGTTGGCCTAATAAAAATAGATAATTGTTCCCTGCACTTCCTCATCCAAGTCATTAATAAAAATGTTCAAGAGCACTGGGCCCAGGACCGGACCCCGGGTGGCCCCACGTGTTACCTCTCCCCAGTCTGAGAAGGTGCCCTTGATGAGCACTTTTTGGCTCCTATTCTGCAGCAAGCTAGGAAAGGAAGAAACACCCACACATGCAAAGAGCACAAATATGCACTTTTCATCTTAGCATCTGCCTCCGTAGAACTGGTGACATCATTCCCAGTAGCAAGTAGTCTAAAGACTTATTACTTATTTTACCTATTTTGACTCTTTTCCCTTACAGATACACTCAGTCGTTTTATCCACACCCTGAAGATGAGGAACGGAAGCTAGTCATAGCTTTCCAGAGTAAATCATTCTGATAGTAAATCATTCTCCAGAATAAATCATTCTCATAACTTTTTATTCTTACAGTTAAGTATATTGAACATTTTCACATGTTTCCTGGGTGGGGTTCTTTTCATGATCACATAATGCAAAGTTCAAAGCAAAGGCTTTGCCCATGTTCCCTGTCTTTTCTGTCTATCAGGGACAGGCTTGACGTCAAGGGTAGGCATAGCCAGCCAACTTCTGGGTGTCTGCACCTCAGGAAGGTCCCCTGAGAAGAAGGCGTCTCGCCACAGGAGCCATCACCGACCACGCCAAACAAATGTGGAACATGCCTGAGACTTCTAGTGTTTGTGCCAACATGAGGTGATTGAGGTAAATGGTTACAGGCAAGACTTACCTTTTAAATGTTTTACTAACTGGGGGGCACACATCTCCTGTCCTCTCCATACTCTGTTGACCATGAACTCTCATCCCACCTTACTACAGGCAGTCCCCTGGTTACAAGTGAGCTCCGTACCTGACAAAATGGAAATTTTTCTTTAAGTAGAATTTGTCTATAAATTGGATCACACAAAGTTAGCCCTCCACATTTATTTATTTATTTATTTATGATTTATATCCTGCCTTTTTCCTACAAAGGGCTCAAGGCAGCTTACATCTCCTCCATCTTATCCCCACAACTACAACCCTGTGAGGTAGGTTGGGCTGAGAGTCTGTGACTGGCCCAAAGTCACCCAGTTGGCTCCATGGCTGAGCGGGGACTAGAACCCAGATTGTCTGAGTCCCAGTCCCATGCTCTTAGCCACTACACCACACTGGCTCACTACACCACACTGGCAACCCCACATTTGCAGGGGTTGGGCTGCAGTACCCCCATCAAAATGGATAAACCACACATATCTCTACCCCCCCCCCAAAAAAAAAACCTCACCAGTGCCTCCTCTTTGCAGCAAGGAAATGTCAGAGAGGTTTCTCACTCCAGATGAGTGGGACAGGAAGGCCTGCTTGGAGGCCTCCTTCTCTCTTCTCACACCTCCTCTCTCTCCATGGTGATGCTTTGGAGGACCTCCCTCATTCCCCTTTTGCTTCCTTTCTTTCTATGGTGGTGATGATTTCCTGCAGTATTTTTTAAATTAATAGATTTTATGGCAGTTCATTCATAAGTAAGAGTTCTTCATAACCTTGGCTTTCCGAACATGGGGACTGCCTGTGCAGTCAGATATGATTGGCTGCAGAAACTTGGAAGCTGGTGATACTTTTACAGAAGTAGAAGGCATTCAGAACTCACTATCTCAGCAAGTCTTCATCTTACTGCTTGGTAGACTTTGTTTACCTCAGCAATGCTATGAATGGCCAAGAGAGCCTAAATAAAAGCCTTCCCTAATTTCTGAGTTCTCAGATATGTAAATAACCTAAGCAGTAGTAATATTATCATCCCATTGCATTTATATCTTGCCCTTTTCCTCTTATGAGATTCCGCGATGGCTTACCATAGCTCCATTTTATCTTTGCACCCACAACTGGTGAGGTAGGTTAGGCTGAGAGTGAGTGACTGATTTCAGGTTTCCCAGTTGTAACTAAACTGTGAGTTGGAAATGTGTATGAATTAGCTGCCACCTCAAATATTAAAAACAGATTTTGGGAGCCATCATGTGTTATCTGTTCAGCATTGTCTAGTGAGGGCAAGAAGTGGAAGGCAGACATGGAAGATATCAGGAAAAGTTTCCTCACTATCAAAGCAATATGACAGTGGAACCAGTTGCCTCAGAATGGTCATGGGCTCTCCCACACTGGAGACACTCACAAAGAATCTGCAGAGCCATCTGAGTGCCACGGCGTGGATTGGTGTCCTGCAACAGCAGGAGGTTGGACCCAATAGACTACTTGGCCCCTTCCAACTCTACTAGTCTATGAACCTGTGATTAAGATCTTGGCTCTCTGGTGCTGCTTTCAGGCATGTGAGGGTCCTTGGGCAACCTGCCTTCCATGGGCCTCCTCCCTTGGTGAGCCCGCTTCACAGCCCTTATCACCAGCCAGGGCTGCTTGTCACCTTCTTTCTCATGATGGCCGTGGCATGACAGGAAGGAAGCCAGTGAGCACGCGGGCAGTGACATGTGCTGCCCATCCTTCACACCTTACCTGTTGTCTGGGCCAAGCAGGAGGCAGGTGGATGAGCAGGTTGAGAGGAGAAGCAACTGCAGGGGTCTGTTGTTAATGGGCCTGCAGCAGGTATCCTGGCACAACTACTCTTGAAGTCAACCATGTGGTTCTGCATAGCTTCCATGGCATCCTATAGCATTGCTTGGTGCGTCTTGTTCCTTTTTCTGTATCAGTGAATAGTTGTAGTCCATCCCTATGCAATAAAGGGATGTGCTGCTCCAGAAGGTCACAACAGCGATGGAGGCGCTGTATCCTCCACTTGACAGCAGTGAGCATCCACTAACCAGCTCCACGGATCACTGCAACACTGTAAGAACCCTCCAAGTTCCTTGAAATACTCAGCCCTCCTATTGCAGTCCAGGCTGTGGAATTCCCTCCCGAGTGAAGCTAGGCTGGGACTCTTTTGGTTGTCCTGCCAGTGTCCTGGTCTGTTGCTGAACAGTGTTTTAATTAGTTTGTGCTCTTTTTATGGATGAGTTTCTGTGTTTTAAATCTGGTTTTAAATAGAAATCAGTCAGTTGAATCAATTAACTCAACATTCCCATTGCGCATCTGTCATTATGGGCATTCCAATGACGATGTTCATATCACAGCTGTCAATGTTAAGTTTAAATTGATACAAGGTCAACATTTAGTTCTGTCCATCTCCCAACAGAGTAGTTTTCCTCTTTGTTGCTGTGTCTCCTCAAATCCATTCTGGAGGATTAAGACACTCTCCGGAGAAGGTTTTGTGGGAATGTGGGGATACAGGAAGGAGAGGACAATAAATTTCTATTGCATGAAGGGGCTTCCATTTGTGCAGTGTTGAAAGTAGTCTTAATGCCAGAGGGAAAAAATATTCTACAATATAAACAAACCTCAAAGTATTTGTCTTCCTAGTCCCATTGGAGGCCTTCACCAAAATGTTAACCTTGGTACAGTTCCAGTGACAAATAGAATGCTTACAATAACTATAGAATTGTTTTGGGGTGGCCATTTTCTCAGTACATCACGAAGACATTGTAATCTGTATCTAAGCAATTGTTTTTTGTTTGCATATTTCAGCTTAGGTCAGACTCTGTCTTGAAATAATTTTCAACACACAAAGCCAAAATAATCTAGCAAACATTGAAAAAACTTACTAATATTTTGAAAGATGGCTCTTTAAGTGTAATGCCACAAGCTCATGATAGGAAATAAAGGAATGGAAAAGTACAAAATGTGGAAGATGCTCATCTCACATGACAATTTTCATATAAAATCCTCCAAATGTAAAAATAAAACATTAGATCTTATGTTGGCTTCCACAACATCCAGTTGTGTTCCAAGAATGATGTTTCCAGACTTGCATGATGGCATTTCTTTCTCTAGAAACTGAACTCTCTATTTTCTTTCTTTCTTTTACTGGCCCTTCCTTCTGATGATCAGATTGGTAAATTGTTCATCATAAGGGGGCAGGATGTTACTGCTAAGATAACATGATTCAAGCGCGATGTCTCATCCTATAAAACCACTCCAGTGTGTGGGTCAGACTGTTCATACTGCAGCTCATACTGCACTTGCACAATATCTTGCAACAAAACTAGGAAAACTGCTTACAGTGTGGGAATATTTGAAAGGGCTGTAGCAGGAGCAGAAAAATACTGCTGTGCAAACAAAATCCAATGTGTGGTTCCTGGGATCCAAGCCATTGTGTTGTGGCATTTTCTCTATTTTATTTTGTTTCTTCTCATTGGGAAAATATTATTACATATCAGGCACAGAGCTGGAGGTTATACAAACACAGACTTAATTTTAAAAAGAAAGAGATATGTATATGGAGGGTGTTTGATTTCTTTTTAATGATCAAATGCAGTGAAGAACATATAGAGACAAAAACACACACAGAAGAAAGCTCCTTCTTCCACTGTTCTCTGTCTTTAAAACCATGCATTATTCAAGTAAGTTACGTGATACCAATAGCACACTAACCATCCATACCCACTTCAACAGCAGTGTATAAAGTGATTTCAGCTTCCTTGAAGGTACTTTGGTTTATCCTAAAGACATGCCCAGCTAAACATCTGTTGCATTTCCATTGAACCGAACTTCTAACTCTCTAGATATGTAGGTAAACTTGAAGAGTCTGGCCTTGCTGCTCCAGCATGGATTTGTGCAGGAAGAGCATGGCACAGACAGAATCTCCCTCAACAGGAGTGATGGAGAACTCTCCTTCCCTTGATGCATAAGCTGAATGAATTTATTTGTAGATTTTATTTGCAATATTATCTACCACTCCAAGCAGATTCTGGAGCACATTGCAATCCAGTGGCACAGGGTTTTTCCTGAAGGGATAAGAACTCGATTGTCTGGGGGTCCCGAGGGTAAGCAAACAGCTGGATTGTCCAGTGTGGAACACAGAAAGATCCCCTACTTAAGGAGGTACTGCACCTGTCCTCATACAGAAAGAAAATGGATTGTGGGGACTGAATATCAAAAAAGAAAGGAAGAACAATTGCTCACTGGATCAAGTGAAAAGACGAGCAGTCAGTTGATTAGCAGAAGGTAGAAGCAGCTGAAAATGTGGCTGGTTCCCCAAGAAATGCTTGGCAGGCAGAGATTTCTTTACAGAGGCTTGTTCCTTCCACGTTCACCCCATTGCCTTTCAGGAAGAACAATCTGAGCCCATCTGCATCCTTTCTGTGCAGTAGGGTTTGATTCCCCGATGGCTCAAATGACTGACGGTCTCACGGTTCCTTTTTGCCGGAACTCCAGAAATATTTATGTTGATAACTTCACGGGTGTGAGCTGTATATGGCTGCTATATCTACCACATTTTCAAACTGTCTTTTTCCCAAGGAACCTCAGGTGGTAAATGTGGATAAATAGGCCAGTGTGATAAAGTAGGAGGACTTGCTCAAGGTGGTCCAGAAGTTCCATAGCCAATTTGCCCTGGTTTTCCATATCCAAACCTTAATGGCTTAGCCACACAGATACGCTGCCTCAAAGCAAGTTAGTGTGTTGATAAGAACAGACATGCCATCTTGGTTGGTATGTGCTGCTGTGCTCAAATGTAAATGTTCCACGAGGCCCTAATCTATATGGCTAGTTTGGCCCTAAAGGCCAGTTCACATTTGTGCTAGCTTATAGGTTATACCTGGAATGTTATACGTGGCATGTAGGGAGTGAGTCTTGGCTCATGTTTCCTTTCCTACCACGTATGGAACATCCACTTGTATAGGGAAATGCACATAAATGTGTATGCTACACGCCACTTGGTATTAAACGTTCAGAGCAAAATTGCTATATGTAGATCATAGCTTTTTTTTGTTTTGTTTTTCTTTACACAAATGTTACTGTGCAGGCTTGGAGGCTGAGTTTAGAATTAGTGAGGCTCTGGCTGAAATCCTATGGTTTGTCATTCAGTATGAACCAGACCAAGATTCAGAAAGACAGAAAAAATAAAAGATGCACTGCACTGGAATAATGAGGAAGGTAGAAAGGATAGCAGGAAAAAGAGCAATCAGATATTGACATTAAATAATATCGGTACCATGGTTATGTTTAAAACATTTGCATTTATCTACATGGTAAGCAACTCCGATGAATGCACAGCAAAATATTTTCACAGTGCAGAACAAAAGTGATTTATGTGAAACAGAATAATAATTTTACACTATATACTAGACACTAATATACAACTTGCTTTTTCCGGAGCAGCTCAACTGTCTTTAACTAGGCTGATCTCAGGAAATAGATGCTATGCCATGTTAGTGGAAGTCCACTAGCACAGCAAGACTTTCTCCCTCTCTCCTCCTTTCTGCAGCCATCCACACGTTCCAAATATCTGCTTTGGAGGGTCTCCTGGCCCTTTACAGCAAACTTGGAGATTATGAGTGGGAGCTATCAAGGAAGAAGAGTCCTCTTTCATTCCACTGATGGAACATCTTCCATCTTCAGAATGACAGTACTGAATACAACTCACAGAGTGCAATTTTCAGGCCATGATCCAAAGCTTGCTTATTTAAAAGGGAGTATTTGAATTTATTTATTTATAAAATTTTTATACTGTCCATCAGCCAAAAAGACGCTCTGGACTGTCCACATCATTAATGCCATTTCTCTCTACCAATCCAGCTAAATTAAGCTGTGATGATACCCTCTTAAAACAAATTACTCATGCCTTTATTTCTAGCACATTCACTGCGACTTTGTCACTCATGGTTAAATTCAACTGGGTTTGTCCCATTCGGTTTAGGATCAGGCCATTAATGTTTTGTAAGAATTTAAACATTCCATCTATTTCAGTGTATTTCTATATAACAGTGTATATAATAGCATTCAAGATACTTACTATAGCTACTGTTCTAATAATCCCTCAATCATGTAGCAAACAACTAGGTGTTATGGTAATGTTAAGGCCCTGTACTTTTTCTTTTTACTGTAGTCCTTCTTTGGTTCTTATTGCTCGTAATGCATTTAACTTTGGGAGGGTATTGATCCCACACCTCTCCATATGCTTGAGTAACTGGACCTTAAAAACATGTGAAGACAGAGTTTGTTGTCACTGAAAGCATTATCAAGCACCGACACAACATTGCTCTTGGGGGAATGGATATTGTTCTCCAGGTTTTTCCAACCTGATGCTCCCAGATGTGTTGGATTACAACTGTCATCATCCCTAAGTGGCAGGGCCACTTGCCATAGTATGTATGGATGATGGGAGCTGTGGTCTGACACATCTAGGAGACGCCAAGTTGTGGAAGGCTGGTATCTGGAAACAAACAAATTAGCACAGTGAATTCCAATTTAACAATCCAATTAAATTGAATTGTTGATTCGATTTAACAAATTAGCACAGTGAATTCCTGGTATCTGCACACTGGTGGCAACATGCTGATTCATCCGTATTATTTTACAAGAAGCCCAGTTTTAAAAAGAGGAAACTCTATATCCTTGTAGCAGTAGATTATAGAAACATATAGAATTTGTTCTTTTTCAGCTTAAAAACTTTTTTTTTGATGTAGAAGAGTCTTTCACTGAAATGCTTTACATTTCCAAAATTCCAGTGGACTGATTAAATTATAAGCAGATGCTTAAGTAAATATTCTATTGCAAGCCACATGCATGGGAGGCTGTTTTGTGGGTAGTGCTATTTGAATAAAAAAATCAAACTTCAGTGTGAGTCAATTGGTTGATTGATGGGGAAATGTTTTACAGTCAAGAGCCCTATTGCGGGCACAGAAGCACGATTACATCCCTAGATCGTTTAAAAGGCTGCATGCAAACTTGGTCACCTATCAAAAAATCTTCAACAGTGAGCCCATAGGACTCAACTCATCTGCACACACGCATATCAGCTTTTTAACAATAGTGGGTAAATAAAAACATGTTGGAGAGCACCGTAAAGCACCAGGGAGGCACACGTAATGTCTGGGATGCTCATGCACAGAACTAATGCTGGATTTTTGTCAAAACTTGGCTCACTGCCAGTTACAGTAGGGAAACCATCTCTCTTTCAAATGGCATCAATGGCATTTAAATGGATTGCTAGATTAACCCATCTGGAGGCAGCTCAGCACTGGTCTGTGGCACATCACACTTCCCTGCTACTACAAGCAGCAATAAAAGAGAGGACTGCATCACTTCTGCTTGGAGTGCAGCTCTGTTTGCCTGCCTGCCTGCCTGCCTGCCTGCCTGCCTGCCTGCCTGTCTATCTATCTATCTGGGTATACACATCTTAGCAAATATGTATATATGTGTGCACCCCCATGTACCAAGCCAGCATCATGTGGTTCCCTTGGTGCTTGAAAGGTTGTGCAACTGGCTTAAAGCAAAAATGATCATGTTCTTTTCAGAGTGCCCCTTGTACTCCATGGCCACCAAGTTAAACATCTACAGGAAGTCTTGTGTAAACAGTCCCAACTTAAGCATAAATATGAATGGATTAGAGAGCAACTGTATGTTCTCTGGACAGTGTTCCAAGAATCATAGGATTCTTTGTAGTCTCCTTGCCAAGGTTCTAGGCACTGCTGCAACCTCAGAAGGGGGAATCCAGGCCCTCTCACTGCCCTTCCTCTCACAGCTTCTCCCAGCTGTAGACCAACCACAGTTTCTCATGGCATCCAACCTAAAAGAAATGCCTTCCAGGAGGAAGCTAGAATCCTCACGAAATGATGGCTTCACCCCAGCTTGTTCTTTTCAACCATAGTTTAAGAAAAGCACAAGCCCCTGAATTCGGACATCACAAAAGTTGTGGTTTAAAACAGGAAGTGGAAATGTCCAGCCTTCTTTTTGTGAGTATGAAAAGAGGGAAGGGGAGGGAAGATCAGAAGTCTTCTGCATGTATCAGAAAATCATGATTTCTGTTATGTCTGAACCAGGCAGGTATCTTTCTGACATTATATGTTCTATTATTTGAAGCTGGCCTTCTCTACACAATTCCATGCATTAGGTACACAGGAAACTCCCATGTATGAAATCAAACCATTGGCTCACCTGGTTGACTCCCATCTATATTGGCTGGCAGCAGCTTTCTGGGGTTTCAAGAAAGAGCCTTCTCCTGCTATACCTGGAGATGTCACGGAACTGAACCTGGAATGCAGCAGGGCTGGGAACCACTACCTGGTGCCTAAGAAGCTAACTTGTACTGTGTCAGAGAGCTTGGTACACTGACTAACAGCAGCTCTCCAGGTTTCCAGAGGCTCTCCAGGTGTTCATGGACATGCCGAAGACTGGACCTTGTATCTTCTCCGTGCAGAGCATGTTCACTGCCACTGAGTTATTTCTTCTCTATAATTATCCTCATGAGAAGCAGATGCTACCCAAATTACACAGTGTTAAATGCAAAGATTTGGGAGGATTGACTGGGTTCAGACAACATGATAATCCACACTCTGAAGTGTGGTAGTTGTTGAAGCAAAGGTCATCCTATTATCTGAACCAGGCTGAGATAACAAAACGTGGTAAACAACCCAGAGTTCATAACCCAGTAGCAAACCATGAGTTCCCTTCATGGGTTGTTAGTGCTTAACAAGGCATGACTTGTTACCACAGCTATGTTAGCACTATAATCCATGTATCAACAACACCCCATGGTTTATCAATCCACACTCCACCTAAATTGAACACCTGAATGAGGGTTATCACGCGAGCCACTGGCTCTCTCAAATTCCATACTATATTTGATACATACTGAGGGTTCTATCCCAGGTAACTGTGTGCATAACGCAAAATAACAATATATCCGGCGTCTGGAATTCAGGCGTAGTGAGGTACCTACTTTGAATGTTTAAATTGTGAAAGTAAGAAGGGAACTAACTGATTCCATTCCTTCACCCATTTTGGAAAGATTCAAGATTGAGTTTGCAGACATAGCAAAGAGTGTCCCCAAGGCAGTTATTTGAAGATACTTCCTATTCAGTTCAATACAGCAAACTTCCATGCAAGGTTGCATGGGAGGACAGCCCTGGAGGTGTGCCCTGAGAAAGGCCAACAGTTTTGAAAATATTGCTTCGTATCAAAAGAGCTATGTAGGCAATCTGTTCTCAGCCTTGTGAGTTTTGCTCTTATTTTCTTTGATCATTCCCACCCCATCAGTATCACAACATGCTTTTAAAACACCCAACCCCCCCCCCCCCATTTCAAAAGTAGTTTGCCTGTCCAGGTGGAATGGTTGTTTGAAAAACAAGATCCTTTAAAAGCACAGAACTATTTGCATGCATTTTTTGATCCTGGCCAGAAAAGAAGGATAATTGCCTCCCTGTGCTATCCATTTCTATCTTTGATTTGTCATTTCTTTTCATTTTTTCTTTGTTTGTAGTGTTAGACATTCTCTGCTGATCAAAAACAAAACTTTGCGACTACCTAGATTACTCAGAGGAAGTGTTTTACAGTCATATTTCTGTGGATTGTCTGAGGACAGATCATTTTAGAACTGTGAAACTTTTCTTTTGGTAGAATTCCTCATTTCTCCATTTTCTTCCTTAATGGTCTGTTGAAAAATCCAGCCTGCATGGAGAAAAAGATATATATATATTTCAGCCTGGAGATTCTATAGGCACATGTACAGCCTCAAACAAAATGTTGCTGTATGGCCTCTTCTGTTTAGGGTCCCGGTGAGCCAACCCTGCTCGCCTTGGAGGATTTCTCATGCCATTTCTGATTTTCCACTGCAATCCCAACTATTCATCAGTATTCCATTGCCACTGTGCATGCTTAGTCCTTATTGGGCAGTTTCTGATTTCCCACCCACAGCTTAGGATTTTTTTTTTTACCCTAAATGTTCCCCCCCCCCGCCCCATTCTGAAACAATTAGGCCTGCTGATAGTTCCCTCTTGTGTGTGAAGGGTGCTATTTTGGCTACATAAAGCTCTACAGTCAAGGTTTTACATTAGTAGGTAGGATCTGCTCCTATTTAAATTAATTTTCTAATCTCAGAGCTGGAGAAAATGCACAATCAGAGAGAGTAAAGAAGCCAAAGTGGGCTTCTTTCTCTTATTAAATGTGCCACAAAGAGGTCATGGAATTTACATAATCACCATTGCCACTGTGGCTTATTGACTTAAATATCTTTCAGCATGCCTTTGTATTAGATTTGGGCCATCAATATTTGATTACGATCATGCATACATAGTATATCTTCCCTTTGTCTGTCTTTGACCCCTTTAGCTTGGCAAGGCTGCCCTCCTGTGGTCAAATGCTTAATATCACCCACATGTTAACGACGCTGGAAGTCTTCAGGACGATTTTATGCACTGGACTGATTTGCACGTTATGGTAAGCCACTGGGAGAATAAGCCACAGTGGCCTGGCTGCTCACCAAACAATACGTGTTACTCTGACAATCACTATCTATGGCAAACTGTTTCAAAGAAAGTTTTCTCAAAATGCAGCAGAGGCATCCAAGCTTCTCTGGAAATCAGATATGTTTCCTTATATTTATAACAACTGAAACTGAATCGCCTAAGCCAGAGATGGAGAATGCTCCAGATGAGCTCCAGATGAGCTCCAGATTACATCTTCCCTGATGGTTGGCAGTATGTCAGCTGGGACTTGTCCCTCCACTTCTGGTAGACCATCATAAACGGTTTTTGTTTGTTTTTTAAATCTATAGACACACTGCCCCAATATTTTGAAATGGGGATATTTGCTGCCTTAAAATGAATGTTGTATTCATTCCATACTTCATTATATAAAACCGATGTGTAATTTTGACTTCTTAGCTTGCCTGGAAGATAGTACATTGCTCTTTAAGCATGATAACCCAGATTCAGGCTGGACATCAGGAAAATCTTCCTCACTGTCAGAGCAATGCAACTGTGGAACCAACTGCCTGGAGAGGTGGTGGGCTCTCCCACACTAGAGACATTCAAGAAGAAACTGGGCAGCCATCTGAGTAGGATGGTGTAACATGGTGTCCTGCAACAGCAGGGGGTTGGACTTGATGGCCTTCATGGCCCCCTTCCAACTCTACTATTCTATGACTCTAGGATCATCACTAATGTATTATTGTTATTTATTATACTGTTTATTATTGTACATGGCATTTATATGTCATTTCCCCCCTCTTATGAAGAACGCAAGGTGGCTTCCACAGCTGCATTTTATTCTTGGAAGCAGCATGTGAGGTAAGAGTGAGAAAGGGTGACCGGCCCAAAGTCATCCCGTGATCTTTATGGCCAGCTGGGGACTTGAGCCTATATCTGCCAGAACCTCATATTAGACATAAATACTTTAAAAAACCCTCTAGGGAGGTGACCATCTGAAATAGTAACAAAGATAACAATATTACTGGCTGCAATTTATGCAAATCATACAGAGACTCAAAGCTGCCTTTGTAAGTATGATAATTGAGCAATCAGATTTTTCTTTATTGCATATCTGCCAGTCTTGAATCTCACTGATGTCTTAAGACTTCTAGTTTGCATTGGAAGAAAAAACAAAAACATAAATTTTAATTTTTCTGAATACCACAATTCTGAAAATCTCAATGTGGGACAAAGAAAGCAAATATCATACCTTCCACAATGCACATATAAGTAGTGTAAGGATCAAAAGTCCAGCAAAAACACTCAGCAAAATAACCCATAATGGTACACGACCAGGAGGATACTCTCTTGAAATGTTAATAGTGGTCTGAAAATTAGGAAAAAGGCACTGTCACAATTTCTTTAAACTAATAATAGTAATCACAACAAAGAATTTAATTACCTGCAGTTACTCTGCCTTAACTTTTAGACTTAGAAGACAACAAAGTTCTCAGCTCAAGCTTTAACTTTGGCTTCATTTGTAAAGCTTCTGAACAACAAAAATCTCCTTTTCATCCTGCAGCAGGGGAAGATACGCTTCCACGCCTCCATTTGTTTTTATTTATTTTTCTATTTATAAGCCACCAACTAGTTCAAAAGACTATTTGAATAAAGACTAAATGGTTCAAAAGACAGCTAAAAGGATGGATCTAACAATGCCTACTAGACAACTCTAGATACTATCTCCAGGAGAAGAAGTAGCTAACTGTGAATACCAGTCACTGGGGAACATCCTGAGGAGAATTTATTGCCCTTATCTCGCTTGTGGGCTTCTTGGAGACACCTGGGCTGGCAACAGTATGCTGGACGTAACTGATCTCTTTCCTGCAGGCTGTTCTAATGTTTGGAGTTTTCAACCACAAGAAGCTGTCCAAAGCTGGCTTCATTCCTGCTTCTGTTCCCCAGACAGGGGACAGTGAAGCACTCCTGGCCGGCGCTTGCAGAAGCTACTGCTGAATAAGCATGTTTAAGATTTCAGCCCAAGATCCATTTTCCTGGCTTCACTGGTTAGAGAATGGAGCTTTGTATATGTAAAAGAGTCAAGAGAGACTCACCTCTACTCTTTCATTTTCTTTCTTCAAAATCAATAGCGAGTTTTCACTTTTCAGTAATGCCCTTATGGTGAGCTCTGCACTGTAAATTCTTGCCTAGAATGAAAAGAAAGTGATACTGTTTATATCCTATCTGAAGAACTTTCAAAATCCAAACAAAATATGATGTCCTCTTGAAAGGAAACATCCATCTATAGCATCAAAGTGAGCTTGCTCACTGTTAAGAGTAATTTGCTCCTATGTTTCTTTATTAATCCTGAAAGGGGAAGTCAATAGCCTGGTGGCTCATTTGGTATAGATCTCTGGCTGGCTGGCTGGCATGTCATCCCACCTGCCAGAACTTGACCCAGATGGACAAAAAGAACGATGCCAAGTCACCAGCAGGGCTGGCACCAAAGACAGACATGGTTCTGCACAGCAGGTGTCCGTTGACCAGAGCCTGCTCTTCACCAGTGCAAGTCATTGGTTCCCCTGCCCTTGGTCTGGTCCGGTCCAGACAAGAGTGGTGGTGGTGGGGAGAAGGCAAGGCAGTAGAGGGCACACTGTCTGGTCGCTCACGGGCACTGACTGACCAGCAAGCAAGGCAGGAGCAATGCTGGGAAAGAGGATGGGAAGTGAACGCAGCTGGTGCGAGTGAGAAGACAGATTCACTACAGAAAGGGGCCATGGAAGGTGACTTCCTCAGGCCCTCAAAAACCTTGCATTGGCTCTGGGCAGGCTTCTGGAAACTGGCCCCTGAGACAGAAGGGGCACCCACTGTTCCACAGTACGTGCTGCATTCAGGAATACCCAGCATTCAGCAGAGGGGGCAGAAAGGTGCTGTCCAGATGTTTCAACTTCAGAATTCACAGCCAGCAGGGCCAACAGTCAGGATCACTAGGAGTTTCAGTCCAAGACATCTGAAGATCCACTTTCTGCCCACTCCTGTCCAAGGGGAACCCTTAAGATCAAGCTGTACTCCCATTTCCCAATGCTTTCACTTCCTTTGTGGGATTTCCTCAGCATCATTGCTGGGCCAAGGAACAAAACTGCCTGCAAACCCAAGCTGAACCACTGCTAGAAGGCTGAAGGTCCATCTCACAGCACAGAGCCTTCCTATTTCTAAACCTGCATTATTCAGACTTCAGTTTCTGCTGCTGCACTTCACTCACTCGTGATAGTGCTTGCTTTGACACAAGGGGGTGGATGCAGGGAGCAGTGTGACCCCTCCTTTATCGCCTCACATCCTAATGAGCCCCACTTTGGCATTTGGTTCCTAAAGCATGAACATGGGGATACATGCTCTGCCTTCCTCCTGAGGAAGCTTTGAACTGAAACTGCAACTGTTGTTGGCTAAGAGACGTTCTGGTGTTCCATGGGAACATAGCAGATTCCCAACCATACACAGCCCCACAGCCCCATTATGGCGCCTCCATCAACACAGGGAGGTTGGTCTCCTCTCTTCCCTTGGAATCCCAGACCCCTGCATAGGTCTAAGCTGAATCTGAAGGCAGAGCTCAGTGCTGCTTGAGATTTATTGGCTAAGGGATCCACGTGTTGTTGTTTTTAATGAACGTGACAGTGACATAATTGTTTGTCAGACCCCTGAATGAAGAAAGTGATGCATCACTTACCTTTATAAAGGTAGGCTTCCAGAGTCGGAGTGAAATGTTCATCTGAGTGATATTGGATGGAGCCACAGTACAATTAATGGATGCACAATCATATGAATCACAATTCTGTTTGGAGGAACATTGCCAGATATTAATATTGTAATGTAATGTAATATAATGTAACTGTCCAGATCTACAGCTATTATGACAACCATCTCATTCAGCTCACTGAAATAAATATCACATTTCCTGATAGTAAAATGAGGAATAACAATGACTTTCATCCATCATTCAAAGTGATCCATCACAAATGACAATCCATTATTTGCCTTATAATTTATAGGCATGTTTATAGCTAAGAAAGGTCCCAAAGCAGCATATGACCTCCACTGATAAAAATGCAATCTTAAAGTGACTGTTTCTGCTACCCTAAAGATTAATGGATTACTACAGCATACGCTTTCATAGACTACAGACTATATGAACTGGGAGGTGTTATCACCTATGGGTTTAACATAAATATAGTTCTGTCTGGATCCAACACATGCAAAAAACATACATGTACAGCCATGTACTGAGAGAGGGAGAGGGAGAGGGAGAGAGAGGGGGAGAGGTAAACAGTGGGCTCCAAGGCATGGTCTAAGGCATAGACTGCTGCGGCTATGCTTGAATATTCAAACCTTCAATATTCTTGTTATCTCATCTGAACCCAGTGAAGGTGGGTTTTTGGCATAGTTAACAGATCACCTATCAACCTTAAAACTGCTCATCAATTCTGGGTGGTTGTTAACCACACGAACAACTTCCCTTTGTTGGTTTGGATGACACAGCAAGTTCTGAATAATCAAAAGTCAGCTGGCAAGTGTCAACAGAGACCACAATTCATTGTGGCTTAAATAAGCCACAGGTGGGCGCAGCAACCATGCAAACCCAGACTTTAACTGTTGTCTCTTTTCTTTATATCCATGTACATACCAGCTCACTGAAGATAACACTGCATGTATCTGGTTGAGCCTGGAGGCCTATTCACAATTACCTGGGCATCAATACAATTGAACTCAATGGTGCTTAGTTTTGAATAGATATGCGTTGGAGTACACTGGGGCCCAAGAAAGTTTATGTTATAGACTGAAACTCTTGCTTGCTTTTGCTGCGGCATACTAGCAAAAGGTACTCCATTTGAAATTTAAACAGGCTACACAATTTTTTTTAAAAAGCCAAATAAAAATAAAATATTGAATATTAATACATACAAAGTTAATCAAGCTGAAACTATAGCAAAATGAGCCAAAATGCATAGTTTAAGATTTAATTTTGTCTGCACTAATTACACCAAAACAGAAGCATTCACATAATGAACATATCAGACTGTAAAGGCTTTGGTGGAACAGCCCTATGATCCTCAATGAGTTCTAGATTGCGACTAAAGCTTTATACTTCATCTAGAATAACTTAAATCAGCTTGCATGTTTGTGGAAATATAAATAAAACAAGTATTTCATGTTCTTCAGTATTTATTTCTATTGACTGTACTAGCTTCAAAATGCACAAGGTCTTCCAAAATTAAAACTGAAGTCCCAAAACCCGAACAGTTTTTATTTTATTTATTTATTTTTCAATTTATATCCTGCCTTTTTCCTACAAAGAGCTCAAGGCAGCTTACATCATTCTCCTCCTCCATCTTATCCGCACAACAACAACCCTGTGAGGTAGGTTGGGCTGAGAGTCTGTGACTGGCCCAAAGTCACCCAGTTGGCTCCATGGCCGCGCGGGGACTAGAACCCGGATCGCCTGAGTCCCAGTCCCATGCTCTTAACCACTACACCACACTGGCTCCATTCAAATAACAAATCTTAAAATTTCTCTCAGTGGGATGATTCAAGTTATACTTTAAGTATATACTTGTTTTTTTATCTCTTATTATGCATAGCATTCCAGTAAGGACTAAATAAATCTGATTGTAAATGCTTTTCTACATGAGGTTGTTAGCACTGTATCTGATTTGGGTTTCATTGCAGAACTGAGATCTGAGCTTTACTTTTTTTCTGCTATATAAGCTCTAGGTGGTGCTGTGGCTTTGGCAAAATATTGTAATCACATGGGTAGGAATATACATTTTCTTTTGCTTTCAGAAAAAATATTCAATTAAATATTCAATTCAATTAAATATTCAATATCCACTTTAAAAAATCCCAGGAAAAATGTTCCCAGTTTTCACGAAAATGTTCAAAAAATGCTGAAGGATCATGATGCTGTCTAAAAAGCCATAAATAAGTTGTGACTAAGGAATCATAAGCTTATAATAAGCCCCTTGTGTAGAGAAACTCTAGATTAAGGAGCTTCTGGTTGTTAAAGTAACCCAAATATGAACTTAATTAAGTCATGCCTTTTGACAGCATTTTCATACCAATATCCTGTTAAACCAATCCAAGCAAATAAAAATCGAGGCAGGCATACTATTTTTGGATCCTTTAGAGGCTCTCGTATTCTTGTCATCACAAATGGATGCCCAGCATCAATCTTCAGGGGGTCCTCGGGGTGGCTGGACTGGCACCAGACATTCTGAGAGAGACAAAAACTCCAGCATCTTACCAACAGTCCCAAACAATTGCAAGAGTGGGTTGGACCTCGAGTGCTCGAGTGCTCGTCTGTTGGAAGTGTGGCTCCATCCTGAGCGAAGTGCTGCTCACAACAATTACGCTGACAGATGCCTGGGGAGAGTGGGAGCTGTTTTCCACCGGTTTCCTTTGCATTCTGTGGCCACCAGGGCCACTTTCCTGGCTCTCCTGCAGGATCCCAGTGCTTTGGAGTAGGCTTTAGCTGGCACTGGGGCTGCAGGTGCAGGGGGCATTGATGGGAATCACTTCCACAACCATTCCTCCAATGGGATACCTTGCTGGTCAAAAGCTCTACAAGGACAGAAGCGACCCTTCTGTTCCTGGCAGGGAATGCTGGAACTGACAATCAGTGTAGCACCATAATACTGCACTGTGTATCCTATTAGTATCCTACTATGTATAGTAGGATCAAGGATCAGAGAAAATAGAAGGCATTCATAAAAATATCAGACAAATTATATAATTATATTATGAAATGTTATCAGCATGCCACAATAAATAGAAACATATATGGGGTAGATTTAAGATCTACCAACATGGCATATTAATCTAATCTGCATTGCAGGGCCAGCATCAGGGGTGGACCTGATGCTGCCTACAGCGCAGCAGAACTGGGCCCTGGACGAGGCCCCTGGACAAGAGGGGGTGAGCATTCTGTCTTCCCCACTGCCCCTGCCCACTCTCCCAGCTCTTGCTCCGGCCCAGAATATGCTGGTGGTGCAAAGGCATAGGAGCAGATGCCACTGATTCCTTGTTCTCTGGTTGTCTGCCTGCCAACGAAGCAAGTGCTTGATGAGAAAGAGGGGCAGAAGCATTAGCAGGAAGTGACGGTGCTGAAGAGGGTCTCCGAAGACCCAGAGTTAGTGCAGTGTGGTCCAGCTGAAGGACAGGTCAAGTGTGCAGCCCAAGTGGCTCAACATTCCCAGGGAGGGTTGGTCTCTACAGCACAACCACCAACATCACATGTCAAACTCGTTTTTGATACCGAGGGGATTCTAAGTAGCAAATTGTTTTTTGGAAACTGCTTTTTAAGAGTGTGTGTGTGGAGAGGGAGAGAGAGAGAGAGAGGGAGAGTGAAAGTGAGCGAGCCGTGCATATTTAAAGTAGCTTTTTGAATCTTGACCACATAGAACTCCCACAAATTGTTCAGATGAACTCTAACATCTGTAAACAGATGTTCTTTCTTAAAAAAATCATGAGGCTGGGGGCAAATCTTAGATTCTTTGGTTTATAATCTTAGCCAAGCAGGTAATCCTGGCCCCAGAACTTTCTAGTGCAGCCCACCCCAACCTGGTGCCTTCCCGATGTGTTGAACTACAAGCAAAGGTGCCACTGTGGGCCAAGTTGGCCCTGTGTGCCAAAGGTGCCAAGTTGGCCATTGTGGACCAACTTCTGTGGACATCAGGTGGGGGAAGGTCATTCAAGTGGTTGTCCATCTTTCCCTTGGGAATTTTGAAAGAAAGAGGCACAGAACTTTTTGTTACTCAAAGTATAACACTCCACAGTATGATAACTCAAGCTTAACTTTAAAGGAGTGTTGCAGTTACAGGAGAATATTACATGCTTTTAATAAAACTAACTTACCTCTGTGTGTGTTATTCTGGTTAGGTAGAGGACACGTTTTTCAGGTGAAACCAGATTAGGAAATAAAATTTGCAGAGTAAGCGGTGGTACTGGAAAATGTTCATCTGTTTCAATCTGTGGACACCAAGAATGAATTTTATTCCTTTTGTTACTGGGTCAGTTAATATTTTCATTCCCTAATTATGCATCCATTTTTGTTGTGACAATGAAGTTTAATATGAGGAACAAGGCTTGCAATCTCCTTCCATAGCAAAGTATGACAACACTTTTGCAAAAAGTCTATGCAGAGAGTTATAAGATGCACATAATACTCCAGCTTCCCCATTTGTTGTGGTTTTCCACATGTTCCTCAGCTGCTTCTAGTTCTTGCCACCCCAAAACCTTACTACATGCCATATTATATTATAAGTTATGCATGAGAAGAGGACTGTTTAGATCAAAGCATCATATTTTGATCATGGTACAGATTGACTAAAAGCAGAATGATTAGAGATGGGGTATCATTTCTGGAGAAAGTCTTGAGAAGCCCATTCCAGTGCTGGGTGGGATGGAAGCCAAGAGGACAGAACCAAAGGCTAAAGGGATAGAGCCCAAAATACCCACATATTTTAGCTTAAATCCTTATTTCCAGTAACTTAATATTAATAGAGGCATTTCAACCTTCCAGTAAGATAAAGGGAGTTTACCAGCAGCTAATAGAGGGCAGTGCTCATCTCTGTTTCTAAGGCCATGAGCTAGCACTGTCCAAAGAGTCCTTGATCATGTGGCCAGCAGGACATCGCAGAGTGCTGTTACCTTCCCACTGGCGTGGTACCTATTTATCGATCCGCATTACATGCTTTTGAACTGCTGTGTTGGCTAGGAGTTAAGGGCGAATGGCGGGACATCACTCTACCTGGTGGGGCTGGGCTTGAACTGCTGGAGTGCCAACCATTTCTGGCTGACGGTTCCAGTGTCTTTAAGCTGCTGCCCAACCACTTCCCTCAGAAAGGGAAAGACTGACTCCTAAGTTGACATTGTAACAGATTCAAGTTATGAAATAACTGGCACATTGGTAAAATGTTATTGCTGAAAAACAGCAAGCAGAAAATGTCTCTTTTTTTCTTACCGAATATTTTATGTTAATTTCATCCCCAATGTTCTCAGTGGAGTTAATTGTTCCAGGGACTGTATCATTTGCGGCGATACTGATGTGATGCAGACTGGGATCTCTTAAACAATAAATCATATTTCATTTAACAATGTCATGTTTACAAAACATGCACATTCTCTATTTTAATCATCTGTATAACTGTCTTGTACGATAACTTAGCATTATTATGGCCATAATGGCGGCTGGGAACTAATGCTGGGAAAATGTAATGTACTACAGGACCAAAGCAAACGCAACCGAACCAAAATAAAATAAAATGTAAAATATAAAAATGGTTCTGCTCCTGCTGTAAGCACCCAGATGCCTTTGGGAAGCCCACGCCTCACTCATGTCATCAACACCTAGTACTGTCTGATACTGGCTTCCACATAGAGCCATCATGACGAGTAGCCACTGATGGGCCTATCCTCTATGAATTTGCCTATCCCTCCTTCACAGTCATGCGAATTGGTGGCCAACACAACACTTTGGTAAGCAAATGTCATAGTTTTCATAGCAGGCATCACAAGAATATGAATTCAAAATTGGTAACAAGCATTGACAGTTGTGACATTTTCTGAAAGCATGGAAGATTTCAGTCATACTCCTGGGTTTTCTCAGTAATATATTTATATAACAAAAATTCTCCAATTAGCTAGATAGCCAGCATGGTGTAGTGGGAAGAACACGGGACTGGGACTCAGAGGGCCTGGGTTCTAGTCCCCACTCAGCCATGATGCTCATTGGGTGACTTTGGGCAACACCACTGGAAGTCAACCCAGCTCACAGGGCTGTTGTTGTGTGGATAAGACTGAGAGGGGGAGGAAAATTATGTAAATTCCTTGAAAATAAAAAGATGGGATTATAATATATATAAGCTGCCTAGTTCTGCAAATAATTGTCACAGTGCTAAGAAGACTTGAAATTGGTATTACACTTTAAGTATGTCATCTTAAGTGTATATGACTTGGTTTAAACTAGAAGTGGATTAGACTTCTGATTTAATATTAATTATAGGCTTGGAGCCCCTGTAAATATTAAATCAGAAGCCTAATCCACATCTAGTTTAGGTTTAAGATGACATACTCAATTAAATGGCATGAAATTGATTTAATTGGCACACTCTGGAGTTAAAAACCTTTTATAAACAGAAATGATTTTACTTCAAATTCAATATATGAGACTTTTATTGTTTTTTCTACCAACTGGGAGAGAAAAATTATCTCTAAAGCTCTGTAGGAGAGATTAACAATATAAATATACCTTTTAAATATCAATCCACTTTCATACTTCACTGGTATTACAATACTTCCTTGGTTGTCAAAAAGAGTCTCATTGTGTTCGTCACTGTCACTAAAATGAAAATGGGATCTGATCAATTATGCAATTCATTGATAATATGGCTTAGTTTTGTAAGTCTGAAATATTGAATCATGGCAGTTAACACCAGAACACATCTACTTTTGATTGCTTAAAATAATGTTTGAACTGGCCATCAGTTCAAACATTCCCCAAACTGTAGCTTGTGTTTGAGTAACCCACAGCAAGCTTTGCTGTCCTCATCTCCCACATAGCTTCACATAGGAACTGGGAAGACTTCACTTGTGTCAACCAACCTCAACCAATTGTAGTTAATTTTAATTCTGGATAGATTAAAATGCTGTTTAATTATTCATTTAGTACTGACATTTCTATCTGCTAAAAGCTATGAAGGTGCACCACAACAATTTAAAATATGTAAAAATACTAAAATGATACATTTTGAAATGCCAAATTGAAAAAAAGTCTCTGCATCCTTTCTAAAGGCCAAAGAGGAGGGACCAGTCATAGTTCTTGAGGGCATTGTATAAGTTTGGGCAACACAGGCAGAAGCCCTTTCAATGTACTGGATAAAAGGGATGTCAAAAGGGCCTCTACCACAGATCTCATTGCTTTGGCAAGTTTGCAACAAGACAAGTGGTCGTTTAGATGAAACTGGCTTGTTTCAAGCAAACACAGCATTAACTACAGTTTAGGTTTTCATGATGTGGGAAACTGAAATACTCATGCTTCCTAATGAGAAAGTTTTACTACTGTAATTTCTAGCCAATATTGTATACAAAGATGAGACAAATCCAGTTAAGTCCATATCCTGTATTTATATGCATGCAGTGACCATGGGGGCATAGGAATGGGAATGGGGCATAGGAATGGGTGTCATAAGTACAGGTTAGGGGACAAGTGGCTGGAGAGCAGCACATGTGAAAGGGACCTCGGGGTACTGGTTGACTGCAGGCTGAACATGAGTCAGCAGTGTGATGTGGTGGTCAAGAGGGCAAACACCACCCTTGGTTGCATAGCCAGAAGTGTGGCTTCTAGATTGAGAGAGGTATTACTACCACTCTATACAACTCTGGTGCACCCGCAACTGGAGTATTGTGTTCAGTTTGGGGCCTTTCATTACAGGAAGGATATAGCCAGGTTAGAGCCAGTGCAGCGTAGGGCCACAAGGATGGTGGCCGGTTTGCAAGGAAAGCCATATGAGGCGAGACTGAGGGAACTGGGCCTTTTCAGCCGGGAGGAGACTCCGAGGGGATCTGTTGGCGACATAGAGGTATGTGAGGGTGGATGACACAGAAGTGGGTAGAGACCTGTGGGTAGAGACCTGTCCTACCCTCCCCCTGCAGAGGAGGGTAGGACATGCTCCAATGGATTGAAACTCAGGGAACCAAGGTTCAATTTAGATGCCAGGAAGTACTCCTTGACAGTACTTCCCGAGAGTATGGAATGGGCTTCCATGGGAGGTGGTTGAGGCCCCATCGTGAGGGTGTTCAAGGATAGGCTAGACATGCACATGGTAGGCATATCATGAGTGGAGCCGGCTGGAGCTGGGGGTCAGACTAGATGGCCTGGGAGGCCCCTTCTGACTCTTTCTGTTTCTATATGGAGGAGGAACCCAAATAGAGCACTCTGATCACAAAGGAGCTGTTCTGTCCAGAGTACTTGTCAGCAAAACTGTTTGCTCTTTTACCTTCTCAAAGGGTATATCACTTAGAGGAGCCTCTGCTTTGGTGGCTGGGGACAACCTTTGCACCAGCCAGGATGCCCATTTCCCCCACCCCTCCCCACCCCTGGCTGGAGCTCCACTCCTGCAGAGGGAGCCACGGTGGAAACCTTTGCTGTGGCTGGATGAATCAGGGAAGGAGGCTCTATCAGGAGGGAAATCCCTCTGAAGTTGGAACTCAGCAGCAGCGTTTTTGGTTCATCGAATGCTCCTTTGGGACACTGTCGAGGGACTAGAACCATTTTCCAAACTGCGTGAAGAACACGCTCATTTCATGACTCTTGTCCAAGAGAGAGCTACAAAATTAGATTCACTTATGCCTGAGAGAACTTTACACATAAATTGCTGCTAGTTCAATCCAATCTATTTAATTTGTAATATATGGCTTCTATCCAGTTGTAAATGGAGCCAGCATAAATGCTCAGCGTCGACTTGAACATTTGAGAATACATCATCTCATTTGCACTATAAGAAGGTAATTTTTAATAATATAGCAAAAATTGGGTAGTAAAAACATTAAAATGAAAGCAATACATAAATAATTGTCGAAACTAACCTTGTCACAGAAAATTGAATTGTGGTATTTTCCAGAAGGTAAGACACATTGAACTGGAATGATACGGTGAAGGAAATCTAAATGAAAAAAAGATTATTTTAAAATGCATAAAATATTTTGAAATCATAAATAATGCAATTAGGAATAGAATGCATTTTATCCTTACTCCCCGACTAGTTAACTGGGTCTCCGACATGTAACTATCCTGATCAGAAAAACAGGGATAAGTAAAATGAGTTAGGAGAGTTCCTGATGGATGCAAGGAAAGCCTGGGTTTCTGAGAAAAACTTTTCTGAGAAAAACTTTTCAAAGCTCTCCACTTTCACCCCTGACCCAGAGGGTTGTACATTAACACTGGGCATGTGTTTTTGTGCTTGTACATGTGAGAGAGAATACGGAAAACAGATAATACTCTATCTTAGTAAAGTCACTATAATATTTCACATTGAAATGTTTGTGCTAATGTATAACTATTATTATGTTGCACATTTTAAATAGCTGCATGCAGATGTTTGCTCTGAATTAGCCCCAGACAGTTTGGGCTACTTACAGTCCAACCCTCTTAATATTGACTTAAAAGTAAGCCTTATTGAGTATATGAAACCTTAATTGCAGGTAAATCTGTAATGAGTTGCAGTCCAACAGGTAGTTCATGAACAATGTACAGAAAAGCTAGAACTGTTTGGGCATGTTACTTCTGAGCCTCCGCAGAAGCTGCTGTGGGAAAGTTTGCTGTTAGCCAATTTATTGTTGAGAGAACTGAGCCAGGTCATAGCATGAGGATGTGGGAATAAAGTGAAATTCCACATACATTATTTTTGTAAGTTATGAAAAGCCTCACTTAATGTGGAATTCCACTTTAGAAACGTCCCATGTAAAGGCTGAGAACAATAGCTGAAGATACGATCTTGTAAGAGAGGCTGCTGTCAGTGGTCGCCTAAGCGAAAAGCAGGGTTAAGATTAATGTAAGATATTAAGAAAATGATTGGGTACAAACAACCTCCAGCAATTGAGTTGCTGTTGTTGTTGAAACATGGGCTGTTGGTGAAATGTGGGTTCTTGTGTTGCCTAAGCCCAACTGCACTAAACAAGCCATTGCTTGTTAACCGGGGGACCATGGAAGAGAACCCAGGTTTTGTTGCTGGGTTGTGAGCTGGGGGTTGCTTGCATAGTTTATTCTCAGGTTCAGACAACAGGATAACCATGATCCAATGAAAACTCACTCTCACAGCACACTCAACCCCTAAGTGTGCGTTATCGTGTTCGATCTACCCAGTAGTGGGCTTGGTATGATCCTGGCTTCGCACTGGTCCCAAAAGGGCCCTTTCACCTTTAGCCTTGCTTTATAGTACAACATTTTGTTGCTCCTTCATTTGATGGGATTCAGAAACTGCTCTATGAAGAATGTTCAGCACTGTCCCCAATCATAAATGGGGATGATGGGAGCTGAAATCCAAGACATCTTGAAGGCATCAAATTGGGAAAAATAGATATGCAGGAAGTAGGGTCACAATACCACAACTACCTCCCATTTCCTGCAGCAAGATACTTTATTAAATGAACATCTATCCCACCAACAAGCTAAGCAGGCTTTGATTATTTGTAAAATCAATTGGTCAGAATACAGAAACTCTCTCCTGTACATGGTGAGTGAGTGAAATTATGAAAGCTAAGGAAGGCAGTGAAATTAAGAAATTGGATGAATTTCTTGACAAAATGTAAGCAAGAATAAAACTAAAAATGACACAAAAAACAAAAAAAAATCCTACAGTGTTTGTAATTCAGAATGAAAACAATAGAAACCTAAATTCAATGTTGCAACTGTTTCTTTAATGGACTCCTTTCCACAACCTATTCTTGCCCATTCCTAAAGGATCTACTTCTAGAAGTATCTTTTTTCCTGCCCATTCCCATTTCTCTCTACAGCGCATTTATATTCTGCAAGCAGGATAGCATGTATTCTGCAATTACAAGCAAGTGCAGGAAAGCACTTCATGTGATTTCTGGCATAGAATTCCACTCCTTGAAAACTTTAGGGCCACATTATAAGTGATATTAAAATGTTGTTGTTGTTAGTCGTGAAGTCGTGTCCGACCCATCGCGACCCCATGGACAACATTCCTCCAGGCCTTCCTGTCTTCCACTATCCCCCGAAGTCCACTCAAGCTCACACCAACTGCTTCCGTGACTCCATCTAGCCACCTCATTCTCTGCTGTCCCCTTCTCCTTTTGCTGTCAATTGTTCCCAGCATTAGGCTCTTCTCCAGGGAGTCTTTCCTTCTCATTAGGTATCCAAAGTATTTGAGTTTCATCTTCACTATCTGGCCTTCTAAAGAGCAGTCAGGGTTGATCTCCTCTAGGACTGACCAGTTTGATAGCCTTGCAGTCCAGGGGACTTGCAGGAGTCTCCTCCAGCACCACAATTCAAAGGCCTCAATCCTTCAGCGCTCAGCCTTCCTTATGGTCCAGCTTTCACAGCCATACATTGCAACTGGGAAAACCGTAGCCTTGACTATACACACTTTTGTTGGCAGGGTGATGTCTCTGCTTTTTAGTATGCTGTCTAAATTTGCCATAGCTTTCCTCCCCAGGAGCAAGCATCTTTTAATTTCTTGGCTGCAGTCCCCGTCTGCAGTGATCTTGGAGCCCAGGAAAATAAAATCTGTCACTACCTCCATTTCTTCCCCATCGCTTTGCCAGGAAGTGAGAAGACCAGATGCCATGATCTTAGTTTTCTTCATGTTGAGTTTCAAGCCAACTTTTGTGCTCTCCTCCTTCACCCGCATCAAGAAGCTCTTTAGTTCCTCTTCACTTTCTGCCATGAGAGTGATATCATCTGCATATCTGAGGTTGTTGATATTTCTCCCAGCAATCTTAATTCCAAAGGTGATTCATCTAGCCCCGCCTTTCTCATGATGTACTCTGCATATAAGTTAAACAGTATACAGCCTTGCCGAACTCCTTTCTCAATTTTGAACCAATCAGTGGTTCCGTGTCCAGTTCTCACTGTTGCTTCTTGACCTGCATATAGGTTTCTCAAGAGACAAATAAGATGGTCTGGTACTCCCATCTCTTTAAAATGCACGTATCTTTTTAAAAGCTACTGGATGCAGCCATCAAGAGGACTTCATCAAGATCAGGAACACAGCAGGCATTTAGAAGAAGTTTGGCTCTTTCTGTCCATATCATGGTCCCAACAGAAATTACAGTTACGAAGCCGCTATTTGCACTGCAAGGGATGCTTGTATGGATTTCAAGCAGAGCTTCCTTTCAGATGCAAATCTGTGTAGCTGCTACGAATGTATAGGTTCTATTAAAGCCATTCCATCTGTATTTCAGGGACTGTCAGGAATAATTTATTCAGCTGTCTGCTGTTTGATAGAACTGGGTATTTCTAACCAAAATTTTAGTCTACTACTTCTAATTTGCATTAGCACAAATGTGCATTAGTTAATACCAATTGGCATTAATGCAAATAAATAAATAAATAGATAGATAGCACAAATCTGTGTGTGTGTCCCCCTCCCAGCTTGGAAAAAGCAGGTCCACTGTGGAAACCACGGGCCAGATTCATAGAAATCCTAACTCATTTGGATCCACTGCATATTTCTTCAAAGGCTTGCTAGCTGCAATGGGAAGAATGAATCACTGCCTATGTAGTTCCTACCTATAATAGAGCTCAGTTGCTATTAGTAATTTTTAAAAGATCTAGGAGATATTAAAGCACATGCTTAATCTCATATATAGTTTGGCTGCTAGCGTTAATTTCAATAGAGCTTTTCTCATCCTTATGAGGAGATACACTTAAAAATCTGCAGGAAACATCGAATGAAGAAATGCTACTGAATCCAGTTAACAACAGATTGGAGGGGAGAACTGGGTTCAGGAATTCAACATAGGATAAATTATGCAAAACAAACTGAAATAAGTATATTCGATTAGCATAATTTAGGCAGGTTCCAGAATCCTTGTGTAAAATTCATGATATTTTCTCTTGTGGGCATGCCTGCTTCCTTTTGTGCTGAAGTTGGCTGTAACCCACTTGGCTAATACATTCTGTTTTGAGCTAAGGAAGTAGAATGTGCAAAGGAAGCTTGTGATGTGTGCTAACATTGGCCAGAGTGCATACTTCCCACATACCATGTTGCAAGATTCCAGTTCCCAGAGAAAGTTCTCTATCAAGGCATCTTTAACTTTGTCCTATGTAGACACAAATCTGCTGAACTGCACCGAGAGGGAGCTGTTGATGAGATCCCCAGAGAGATTATATCTGGTCCTCTGACTTCTGCAACTGGACCCTTTTTGACTCAAGGATTAACAATAAATAAACAAATACTCTGGCTACGAAATGCTGCTTGCAGGTACTCTGACCATCAGAAAACTGCTGTTTATATTCCCATGACTCTTGCATGCTGCTGTGATTCACAGGATTCTAGTTCTGGCACAGCCAGAGCTCCAGAACAATGTCCAAGGCAAACATCATACAATATTTGTTCAGTGCTTTTGGAGAGAAATTTCCTGTGTCCCAAGCTGTTGGAAACATGAACTGTTTCACAGTGTATGAATGCCATTCAAACCAATTGTGCTGGTCAGCAAGAAACAACACTGACTCAAAGGGCTCCCTTTAGGGAATTCTTTTTAAAAACCTCCCTCTTCTGTCCCTTCTGTATGGTTAAAAGATGAAGTGGCAATTCTAATCCTTTATGGTGAAAATATAAAAACACGGGATGATTGTCCTGGATTACTTTCTATTGGGTACAAGTGTGACCTTTCGAACACTCTCTACATCACACATGTACAAGGGGGGGGGGGGGACCCAAAAAACTCAGGAATTTATTTATTAAAAATGTGTATTTATTTTTACATGTTCAAACTTTGGTCACCTTCAAGGCACTCTCCGTTTGATGCAATACATTTGATGCACTCAAGAAGTTTTTTCCACTGCTCAGAACAGCTTTTGAACTCAATTTTGATGGCTCTTAGCGCTTCTGCCTTTTTTTGTTTCACTTCTTCCACATCAGCAAAATGTTTCCCTTTGAGGACTTTTTTTCATCCAGGGAAACAAACAAACAAAAAAAAGTTGCGCAGGGCGAGACGGGGTGAATAGGGAGGGTGGGCCACAAGGGTCCTGCCATTTTGGGTCAAAACCTCAGCTGAACAAAATTTTACCGCCACATGTTGTTCATGTAAATCAGCCAACGTCTTTCAGCACATTGAAAGAGTCTCCAAAAAAGCCTTACTGCAACTGAATGCAGCCTCTTGCAACAACCCCGCTGGGTACCCTGATGCAGGTGGGTTTCCAGAACACTCACCTAGCAGGGGAAGCCTGTACTACAAGGGTCCCACTCTCCAGAAGATAATGCCTGGGCTTTTTTGGGAGGGGTCCCCCCTAATATATCCATATATTTATAGAACAAGTGGGAACTACAACAAAATGTTGCAGTCCCGAGTGCTTCTACCCTGTTCAGAATATTCCATTCCATTCTTTCTCTATTTTCTGCCAGAATTCTGTGACTACCAAATTCAGTCCTGATTGGGATGTTTTGGCTGTCTCTGCCTCTCTGCCTCCAGAGATTTCTCTTCTATATGTCTACTCAGACATAAGCTCCATGAGTTCAAGGGCCTTACTGACAAGTAAGTATATATATGAGTGCAGCCTTAGGCAGTCATTGGGACTTCTGAGTAGAAATGAATGACTGAAAAGTTAGGAAGTATCCTTGTTTTGGACACTTGACCATTTTAGGAATGGGTCAGTCAGTGCAATAAGCACACGCTGTGTACTTGCATGTTATCTGCTTGTTTTTCCCCCGGTCAGGGTCCTGTCCTCTGAATCTGGAGGCCTACCAGCACCCTATGCAGGACACAAGGAATAGCAAAGGTGAGCTCCTTCACCCCATCTTCCTACCCTGCATTTTTGGCTAGATGGGCCTTTTTGCCCATCCTTTCTCAAAGAATAATGGAAGGAAGCTCAGTAGAGCACGTAAACTGCCCTCCTCACACTCCAGAGTGTAAAATATTCCCTTCTCCCTTCTTTCTGCAAGGTTGAGTTCCAAGCCTTGGAGAGCAGCTGGCATGGTTCTTTCCACATCAGCTAGAAGGTGGTGGAGGGTAGGAGTTCTGATTCCCACTTCCAGATTAGGAGTATTGACTTCAGCCTTGGATCAGGGAATCCAAAATATCCTATGGATCCTCAGATGCTTTCTAGGTACTGCAGAATTGCTCCCTTATTTGCTTTTTAAAATTATAATCTTTTGATAGTTGTTGTTGGTTGCAGTGATGGGCTATGAAGATGAAGTATTTAGATCTAATTAAAACAGATCAACAAATACTTATCCTTATTATTTCCTGACACAGAGAAGATGTCCATACAGATACAAATAAAAGAGTACCACAGCTTTGTTCATAGCATCTTACCTCATCTTTAGGTCTTAGGAAAGGATAGCCTATTTTACAGGTGATGTTTTGCCCAGATTCACAGCTGACGTTTTGTATTATCTGCATATAATTCTTTAAAAGAAAAAACAATAACAGAATAGCTCCATCCTGCAATGCATCCTCTCACACAATAATATCTAATCACACACACACACTTGCTCACACATGCTTGCAGGCATGAACTCATGTGCACCTGTGTCCCAGGTGATACTGCACACAACCCGCAGAGCCACAAAGGCTGTGCATCCCTGCGGGGAACAACCAGGAAGGAGTTTTTTTAATTGGAATCACAATGCAGAGAGAAGGGTTTAACCCTGTCTCTCTGTGCACCAAGGGGCAGTCCTGATTGAACCCCTGGCTGTAGTTCTTCAATGAGCAATGCTCAAAGATGTGTTAATATCGTTGGCCCGTGGCAGTGTGGAGCACTAGAAGCAGTTCTGCAGTGCCATTAGAGGGAATTGCCCCGTAGCTGTTTTAGCCTACAACTCCCATCAGCCTTAGCTAGCATAGCCAGTGATTAGGGATCGTAAGAGTGGTAGGTCAAAGCATCTGGAGGGCTACCAATTGCCTGTTTACATTGGAAGAAATCAATGCATTCTTGTATAGGACCCCTATACAAGTCTACCCAGACATGGACCCAGACTATTGAATGGGGCTGAGTAAAAGACTGCACTCTCACTCTACTATTATATTTTTATGAATAGTTTATTGAGTCGTTTTTTCTCCCTCAGGCACCAAAATGCCTTTTAGCATCTCCCTCAGACCAATGATAAACCAAAGGGCCAATATCTACCCAGGAAGTAAGAAATTGCATGGGAACGCTGGACTCCCAAACCTGAATGATTACCCAAACAAAGCCAGCCTATGCAGATGACTCTGCTTTGCTCTTTGCCCATCCCAATAAGACACTAATTCTAAAGGATTTACCTCAATCCGAGAGAAAATAATATTTGGAGAATACTGAACAAGGACTCTTGTATTATAAGCACTGTCTTTTTTATTCTTAACACTCATATGCACGCTGAACTTGACATTACTTGACTTGATGATGAATGGAGATACACTGAAATTAGAAAACAAAAATAATATTAGGCAATACATGATTTTAAACAGCTCTGCCTAATTAGCTCTTTAACCACAGGTTCCAGGGACCCAACTATATAAGGAAGTATGTTAAAATTTGTCATTTATTGCCAGAATGATAGTAAGGAAAATGAAAAACAAACAGAAGCTATATGTGAAGGAAAGATGGAGGAAAGTCTGATAAACAGAAATTGCAGCTTTTAAACCAAAATGGTTGGTTATACTTAGCAAGTATAGTGCTAGCACTATGTCAAGTGTTTTTTATTAACTGGTTGAGGATTAAAAACAGAATCCATAAGATCAACATTACTGTTCATGTTATAACGTAAAGGCAGAATCAGAGTTAAAGGCGATGCAAAGCTTCCATGAAGAACCCCTTGGAACGAGAAGGCATCCCTGCATCGCAGGCCTGAGCATATCCATGCCACGGGGTCCAGCAGCTGCAAGACTGGGCAATGACAGTCGCGAAACAGGCAGCTCCTCAGAAGTGATGCAGTAAACAGGAGGTCCTGGCCTGCCAATCTTCAGAAGGCCTCTGCCTGTTGCAGCTCAGCAATCTTCAGAAGGCCTTCCAACTACTATTCATGGGTGAGTTGCAGCTAGTTATCTGTTCCTGGCCCTGACGAACCCATCCTGTTCTGCTCTGCTCTTGCTTTACCAGATGAGACCATCCCTCACCAGATGTTGGGTGGGCTGTTGCTGTGAACGAAGTGATCCAGTTCCACTGCAGCAACCCAGTCTCCACTGAGGACCCCATGCCAGCCTAGGGCCATATGTCTAGTTTCGCAAAAAAGTGATGCCATTTTCATATCACATCCCACCTCCGCATGCAGTAGCCAACAAAATGGAGAAAGGCAAAGGAAGTGCAGTGCCTTCACCCTCGACTGGGGCAGGGGACCCTTTCCCTTTCATACATGGGGAAAATGAATTCAGCCAGTGTCAGACCATGTCGGCTTTGATGATTGGAAGAGATAGTGCCAAATACGGGCAGAGTTTGTAGAAATGTGGCCAGACAGAGCACATTTTCTCCATCTTTCTGTGCCACCACCTATGAATTGGTGTTGAGGGCCAAAGAGGTTCCATTAGATGTTAACAAGAAGGGAAGATAGGTGGTACAGCAGCTTTTGGTAGCAACAGTGCATCTCAGACAATGCCTAGATCCCTAATTGTTTGTTGAAGTAGGCAATACATTTTGATGAATTCAATTCAGTTCATTATTTATTATTAGTCACTTAAAAACAAAAACAAATTTTAAACAGGACTTTATGAAGTTCGAGTAAAAAGTCATTTCATTCATATTACCTGCTTCCTCCTATGTTGGCATGGGCAGTCAGCTGTAGGTCAGTAATACATTTCTTCTTATTTCCACAATCTTTGGTGAAAGGAATCTGGAAAGCATCATTTATCACCAAAAGGACTAAACACCATGCAGCCCCATCTCCTTTCTTTATCTGGTCCTTGTCTTGAATTCGGGAAGGGGCTATTTGCTGCCTGTCTTAATTTTTCCAGTATGACTCTACAACCTTGTACTAGGAAAGAGAACTATATTAACTAATATATGGGTAGCAGTCTTTCTTTTTTAAGTACTGATTGATTTTGCCTAATTTTAATTTCTACATGGAGAAAGTCCAAAAAATCAAACCAAATGTCTTGAACTCCATTAAACAGAATCCCAGGACTATGGCCTTCAGTTGTAGGTAGTCTGTACTGTGGGAAAAATAGCCTGCATGCTCAATTGTATTATCGTATTGCACGTTGCAGGTTTGATAATAAGTTTAAGGGGTAAGCAATGGTGCACGCAGATGAAATTGGGGGGCCTCCGGATGGCAACCCTCCATTTGAATAGCTGTCCATTTCAAGTCTGGTTTAAAGATAAAGAAAGATCAGAAGGAACAGCTGGGCCTTGAAGTTGCCCGTCAACAGCCCCTGGAGAGCAGATTGAGCGTACCTTAGCTCACCGGTTCACAGTCCTGCACACTATGGTGAGATGTACTGTGCTCCAGTTTAAATTTACAGGAATTATTTATACATTTCTACACATATAAACTATGCAAATTTTAGGCATTTTGCTGATGTGTCAGAGGCCTGTTGAATGGTCTGCTCAACCCTGTTCTACTCCATGTAAGATTCAGCCCTGCTTGATTCTGAGTGCTGGATTCTTCCAGCACTGGTGTGGGCCTCGTATGTGCCTGTGGACAGAGCATCAAACTTCATGGAATTGCTTAGGAAAGGGATAACACTTCACACGTTGTAGTGACTTACATATTCATATATTGAGCTGGGCAGTGCATTATCAAGAATAGGTCCACTCTCTGGATCAGAGAAATTGAACTCCAACAAAACCTTTATAGAATTACGAAAGTCAGGCTTGTCCTGGAAACAAAGCAGAGCAAAGCAGTCATTGCAACCTCTGCCTAGTTCAGATAGTTCAAAAAGAAGAAACAAGTATGTTTTTAAAGCCATGGTTGGTATGTGGTCTGCATTTTGCATTATTCACATAAAAGGGAAAAAAGCAAATTAGTTTATTTACAGCTTGATGGCTTAACTAAATGACATATTCAAATGATTTATCCTTTTTCACGACCTCCAAGTGATCCTTTTGGGTGGGTTCACATGTCATACTAAGCCATTCTAAGAATAATCTGGCCCACAGATCACAGGGGACGGAAGTTTTCCAAGTCAGCTGACTTACAGACCACTTTCTGACTTTCTGGAGTTGCACACAAAATGTGAAAGTTGCTGGAAAATACACTAATGCATATATAATATTTTCCAGAAACAAACACTCAACATTTTACATCTTTCTGATCTCTCTTCAGTCTTTGCTGAAAAACAATCTTTCTTTTTTAAGTGTTCTACTGATTGACTGTAATTTGAGCTAAGAAAAATATGCAAAATTATGTGCTAGAAAAAGTTCCATATACTGCAGTGGAATGTTTTGCATACTTTGCAGAAATGGGGGAAAAATCCAAGTCTGTCAGTGAGTGGACAACAGAAGGAAAGTTGTCTGATTCACACAATTCACACAACTTAGATGGAATTCAACAAAATATATGCTTAGTCACAAGCAACCATCACAAACGGATAGATTATTCAGCAATGGCATGGAAATTAATGCACAGCAATTTGTGCCATTTTCAGAGGAAGGTAAATAGTGTCACTATGAGGACAGAATGAACTAGGAGAGTATAATTCACATTAAAATGGGTATAAATTCTCCATAGGGTAGCAGAATGTAAACCAATGATTTAGAAGATATTCTTGAATTATATGGACCTTTTACACTAATGGGACCAAAGGCAATTAGGAGCAACAATGGAGAGGGGAAGAAAAGGATAGCCACTTTATATGATTTACTTGCCAAGATGTAGAAGTTATGCTTAACACATTCTGAACCTTTGACTGTGATATTTTTTTGTATCTTCCGTTCAGCTGTTTCTGTGAAAAGGCTTCGCGGTGATGCCCTTTCTGCATCGAGTGTTATCCAGTACTGAATACCTAAGAAGGAAGCAGGAATAACAGCTCACACTGCTTTTCCAGGAATAGCTCTTCAGAACAAATTATTCTCTTCCCCTGTTATTTGCTTTGTTACTTTTTCCAGATTGCTTCAGATTTTCTAAAGAAGGGGTGAGAGGAAGAGTCCTCTGCAAGCCGTTGCAGGATTCAGGCGAAGGCAGGATGCACATTCTTCCTACTCACAGCAGGAGGTCGCGGGAAGGAAGTAGGGGGAGAGGTGCGCAGGCACAGTGAGCATCCCCTCAAGTCAGGGTGGGACCCATGCAGCCTCTGCTGGCCTCCACACTGCTGCATGGGCAAAACCGGTGGCAGAAAATCGATGGCTTACCATTATGGAGCAGTAAACAGGGCATATTTACTTCTTGCCAAGCTACTTTTGACATATTTCCTTCCTCTTTTCTTTTGTCGGTTCCTGGCAGAATTCTGTGGGTTAGTGGCTCCTGGAGGGGGGATCTAGGCACGGCTGGCCCTGTTGCAATTCAAGCTCATGTGGCCAAATCCATGCCTCACACGGTGGCAGATGGCACCCCCTCCCCACTGTTGCCCCCCTGCCTGCTCTGGAGCACCGGCCGGCTGCTGTGGCATTCACTGCACCAATAAGGCAGTGGCAGGACTGCCTGCTGCAAGCACCACTGCCTCTTCTTACCACATGGCGGCCATTTTGCTTGCACTGCTGCTTGAGGGCTTCTGTGCCACTTCAGCTGGTCAATCCCAGGAGCCCTGAAGCTGAGGCACAAGGCAGGGGCGGTGGGCAGGGGCGAGTGAACAGGAGGGCAGCCAGCCTGCAGGCTAGGCGGGCAGCCCAGCTGAGATGGCACCACTCCTTTAACTAAGACAGCAGGCTACACTGAATTGTGGCTAGGTGGAGCGGGAAATAGCCCCAGACTTCCCCAAAGTTGCCTACCACAGCCTTAAACGCAGTCCTGCCTCTCTGTTCCCCGCTCACCTCTTAAACTAGAAAAGCCTGTATTAAGGAACCATGCTAAATCATCAACAACTGCATGGACCTGGATTCCACAAGTATCGACAACGCAAGAGGAGACACAGGTTGGCCATGTTCCAGGTGATAGGAATCTCCCTATTGCTGCTTCATCCCTTGTGAGAAGCCATCATGTTTCAGCACCCGTCTTATATTTAGGATCAGATTAAAAATCAAAAATAAAGAGGCCCCATTCTATTATTTTTTTCACCAACAAATGAGGATATGGTGGAACCTCTGGGCAAGAGTCATTAACCACAGGTCTTCTCTTGAAGATTTCTAAAGAACTGCTCCAAAGTAGCTTTACGGCTTCTGGTTTTTAGAAAAGTTCAGCAAGCTGAGTGCTTCTACTTACTTGTTTCATTCATGAAGATATCCTTTGATTTCAATCTGACTTCAAAGCAAATGGTGGTGTTGATGGACACCCTTTGCTTTTCCATGTCATTGTCTTCCCTAAGGATCTTAATTTTGTTAGGTGTGAATTTCATGGATACGTTTACTTCTGCAACATCACGAGACCTAAAACACACCATATGTGAAAGGTATTTGGAAATATCAGATTCTTTTAGCATTTTACAATGTAGTAACATAGACTCAAAGATTATGTGACTAGCAAAAATAGCTTTGGACCTATTTTTCAAAAGAAGAATCACCCATGCCACATGGCAAAACTCATTTGAAGAAGAAAATAGCCCTAAATGTGGAGAATTCCAAAAGGAATTATGTATGGCATTCAAATATACACTGGGGTTGTCTAACATTGTGTACACTTAGGCAGTAAATTCTATGTACACTTGCTTCAAAGCATGTCCTACTAAATACAGTGGGCTTCTTTCTGGTAAAGATGTGTAGGATAGCATTGTGAAAGTGGCATTTGAGATCCTGCCCAGCATGTGTACAATCCTGTTCTCCTTTCCTTCCTTGGGCTGCTTCTAAGCTCTGGAATTCTGTGGTAAATGAAGCCACATTTGCACTCTCTGTTGTCCTTCCTACCAGCAGGCAAATATGGTTTCAGTTAGGCAGGCTTTTGACTGCTCTGTTGCTAAAGAGGTTTTTAATAGGTTGGTGCATTGCTACATGCTCAGTCATAGGCTACATGCCTACTCTTATTTTATCATATTTGTTTTTATGTTTTATTTTACTTAAGATTGCGTTAATCTGGCTTTTATTATTGGTCACCTCGAGTGCCATTTGTGGGGGGAGGGTTGGGGGAACGGGGGCAGAATGGTGCGATAAAAATAAAATAAATAAATGTTCCTTTTTTAGGGCTGCTTTGTTTGTACACATAGGCAACACTATTGCTGAAATCTGCAGCTTTCACCTATAGGAAGTCATATGGGACATGCAAAAGCATCCCCACATTTGCATGCAGCTGTTTTCATTTCAGCCATAACAACCCTTCTGTGAGATGCTGAGAGTGCAAGAATTTGCTATCAGTTGTGCCTAACGAGATAAGACTGCACTTCCATTTCCCATGCTACAAATGGTTATTTCTTTTGCGTGAACATGGTCAAGGCCAGAAAATATTTTCACCTAGGAATTTGGTGGCAGCTATGAATTGGCCCTGAGAGTTTTGTGTCTATGTAAGAAAACATGCTTCAACATGGTAAGACTCCACATACAAGTAACAGGAGAGCATGGCTTTTTAAATGACTTACCATGAATAAATAGGATTGTTCTAGATAACAGTAATTGACAACTTAATTGCTATTTAGAATGAACATTTAGCATACATACCAGAAGAGGGCTGCCCCTCCAAGGCCTCCAATGGTGACATCTGTCAATCCATCTCCATTTAAATCCATTTCACCATGTATAGATTGACCAAAAAATTTCATCTTTTCTCCATCTCCACCTGATGCAATGCGCTGTGTAATGAATAATATCTATATTACAGTTATCAGAAAAACATGCATAAGAATATTTGGTAATACCCTAACTAATATTTAACTATGAGTAAGCTATGAAGAACTTCAGAAGACTTACACATCTAAAATTGCACAGTTACTGCTGGATTTGTCTGACTGTTACTGCTACCTCATCCCCACCACCTGCCCCCAAAACCCCATTTTGAATAGTACTCGAATTAAGACATAGACCAAACCTCTGTATTTCCCTACAAACAAAAGCCTGTAGAGGAAAAAAAGACTTAAGGTTGGTAGTATGGCTACCAACCACACAAATTAATATTGGTTCAACATTCTTGGGAGTGGTAAACAACACTATAAATTGAAAAATAAAGTAAACTCCTAGATATAATTGTAGAAATACTCTTGAAAACCCCTCCCTTGACACTAATTTTAGAGTCCCAAATATGATTTTAGAAAACATGCGTTATAGAAAATACCTAAATTTGGTGGATATTGAAATATAGATTCTAATGTAAGCCAGACCCAGAGTGGTGCTCATCCATGTTGCACAATTAACCATGTTCAGATTTTCTGAGTTTTCTGTACCTGAGCATATTCTTTCCTTATACTTTTTCCATCGCCATGGTAAATATACACAGCTCCTCGATGGTCATCTTCTAAAGGGGCACCTATGACTATATCATTGAACCCGTCAAGATTGAGATCCTTCACTGGAGCAACTGATGTCCCAAAACGGGCCCCACAAGGTTCGTTTTTGTTGTGCTTGTTGCAGGCACTGTGCTTCAGGAGTGAACAGCAGGCTTGCTTTATGGGCTCAAGCGTCATCTGGTATTCAAATGTTGTCTGCAAAAAAGGGAATGGCAAAAAAAAAAAAAATGTTTTTCAATCTACTTTCTATTACAAGCACTCTTGATGACCCCCCCCCCAAGAGATATGCAACACAAGCAGACTTTCTTTTTGTTGCTTCTCCTGGTTGATCTTAAACCATTGTCCAAATCCCAATTTAGTTTATTCTTTATCATTACCTTGTTCCAACAGTAAACATACACCTTGCCTTGTTCTTCCTTTTCGGTCCCCATGTACATCGGTGCTCCTACCAGAAGGATATCAGTAAATGAATCTTTGTCGATGTCAATGGTTGTGATAACACTCCCAAAGTAGGATCCAATCTGTAATTTATGAAATCACATGATACATTTGTAATTGTCAGTATACTGTAGTGTTAACACCATGGTGTTAATTGAGTGCCGAGGACTTAAGTATAAATGCTCCATTTTACCTTGGTTCTTTCTACTTGGCCAGGGTAGGTTTTGGAAGAAGGGAAGAGACTGGAAGGATGACGGAGGAAGAGTTCCCTGAGGTTTAGATTTTCAAAGTTCTTGCAGAACTTCCAGAAAATCTTCAAGCTTTCCTCAAGATGGGAGTGAGATTAGTTTGCCCATCACTAAATACAGGATATTATAGTGGTGTTAAGTCAAGGGAGCTTGGTTGGTGCTGCAGCTTGGGCTGACTTAAATAAGACCAGAGTAGAAGGTATTCTCTCTTGTCCTGCCAGTAAGCACACCTGCTCCCCCTATCCAGCCAGTCAGAACCTCCAGTGCTTTTTTCATCCTCACACCTGAGCTAGCCACCTGGAAGCTCCTCAGCATCATTTCTGTGGAAGTCACCTTGCATCCTTGGCTGCTGCCTCTGCTCCCTGTTCTTTGCACAAATAGAAACTGCTCAGTAAGTTGGGAGCTGTTCTGTGGAGATGGAACCCAGCTTCTCACAATACAGCAGTCCCAGGAAGAGAGTTCAGATTCATAACGTGAGATAGAGTAGAAGGGGAGGAGGAGTTGGCAGGTGACCCTGAAGAGTCAGGGTTGACAAGTGAGGGTAGTCAGGCCACGGCTGAGAACCAGACCATCTTAGCTTCTCACAGGAAACACCCAATCACACACAGAAAGGCTGCAGTATGAGACTGTATTTTATAAACTTTCATTTTGGACTGCTGGAACAAATGGGGGAGAAACATCTTCATGTCATATTCCATATTTCAACAACATCATTTTCCTGGATGTGTTTGTGTGCGCCCCTGAAACAGCAGTGTGCAAGATGAACTCGTAAAGGAGATCACAGGGGGATCATCATGTATTTCGACCTGGTCCATTTGCAGAATCAAAGCAGCTTGAGACTCAATGTGGAATGCCACATTTTCCATGAAACTGAAACCCTGGCACATGTGCGCCCTGAATGCGTCAAATAATACTTTGCAACTGACATTGTGCAATCATGCACTGCACACCTTTTTAAAGTGACTTTAGTTGTACATTAACATGTTCAGTAATTCAGGCCTATTCTCTAATTTTAAATTTTCTTAATATTGCACATGTAACAAATATTTGGATGTCGCTCTAAGCAATACTTGAATGCCACCATGCACACTTACTTGTTCTCCACTTAATCGCTGACGTATTTCTATATCAGTGCCTCTCATTCTATATATGATAACTTGGCCAGTGTGATTATATCGAGGTTGGCCAGCGATGTATAGTGTCTCAGCTGGGACTGAGGCCGAAGTTACTGTGTAACCTAAAGGAGCAGAGACATTGCATTCATTCTTAGCATATTTTGGCAATAACTACTTGTGATTTTTTTTAAAAAAACAACACTACAATATGGGCGTTGAGCTTTTTTCAGCTCAGAGAAGCTTTCAGGGTGAGGGGTTCTAGTGCCGGGAAGGCCCAAAAGCAAATGGAATGGGACCAAAAATATAAAAACCAACAGAAAATTCTCATAGTTTGATTCTCCTATTGCAAGTAGCTATCCCTTAGGCCAGGTGTTTCAACCTTCCAGACTGGGGGAAAACTGCAGGAAGTTGAGAAACCATGAAACCATGAAATTATGGTGGTTGGGGAAAACTGGAGAGAGTCGAGGAAGGGTTTTGGCCATTTCAGAAATCCTGCAAGGTCAGGTTGGACTCTGTGAGTCCTAAATTTGACTTCCAGGTCTGAAGATCTCCGTCTATGCACTGGAATCTTTCTTTGGTACACCAAGGCAGCCATTCTCCAACATCTGGAAAGCCTTGTTAGTCTCCTCTGTTTAAGTGGGGAGCACTTCACATGCATTACGATTATTCCAAATGTTTTGCAATATTTTGCCTGTATTATCCCAGCAACTACATGCTGATGACTATTAGCACAGATTCTCATAGTGGATCCGGGGGACATTGCATTCTCTGGTAACTTTTAGAGAGGATATAAGCCACAGCATAGTGTTCTCTATAGTCCAGATAGTCCAGTCTTCTACAAACGGGTGTCCTTCAGACATGTTGGACTGCAGCACCTAACATTCTGATAATGATGGGAGTTGAAATACTATCATCCACAAAATATTCTAAACCATCATTTAAAGTCAAGGATGACATTTTGTAACTGAAGAACATCTAGAGGAGTTTGAGAAAAGGCAATCCCCTTGACTGCTTTTCAGAATTGTTCTAATAACTGTTATTCCAAACATCTCAAGCTCCAAATAATTATTTTTTATTTCTGAACAAACTATGTGTTCAGCATGTTCCAACCTATCTTTGAGAAGCCTGCTGAAAGTGAAAGCATGAGGCATTGTAAAACAATCTGATATGAGAGCAGCCTTCCCCAATTCAGTGCCCCCACAAATACATTGGGGAACAACTCCCATCTTCCCCAGCCGTACCAAGTTTGGGGACACTGTTCCCTTAGCTGAAGTGAGAACAAATGAAGTAATCAATCACTAGATAATTGCTCCAGCATACTGTTTGGTGTAATGTCATTTTTTGTCATTTAAAAAAGTAATTTGTATTATTTCTTTTGAAAAATCTATATACTCCCTCATGGAAAATCTTCTCAAAGCAACCTACAATATGAAGCAATAAATAAAACAACAGTAGAACAGTAGTAAGAAGAAAATATCAGGGTTTTAAAAAATACAGCCAGCTACCATTGCCTATACAATACCACTCAATAAATTAGTTCAGTTACACTCAAGCTGAAAAGGTAAGTCTTTAGAGCTCAGGGTCATTTGAAGGCCTGTAATGATGGGGCCTGGTGGATGTCAGCTAAAATACAGCCCCACAAACTGGATGGGGGTGTGACTGAGAAGACTCTGTCCCACAGACCTACCTACCTCGCACCTACCATCCTAGCTACTTTTACCAGCAGGCACACAAACAGGTCCTCCAGGATAGACCTAATGTGTTTTTTGACTTACGCAGTTTGTCGTAAAAGAAAAACAAACGGCAGGAAGCTAAAAGAAAAGCACGAATGCACTGGGCCATTTTTCTCACCTAAGTAAGCTGCAAGAGGCTCGTTCTTTTCTGTAAACTCATCATAAAATGTGTCATTTGCTGGAGTTACTATGGCATCCTCCTTCATCATGACGACAGTTCCATTCCAGTCATATGCTCCAACTGCTCCAAGCATGACCCAATCCTAACACAGCAGGAGAAATCAAGATGTAAACTTTTTTATTTAAACAAGCTTTTGGTTGATTTGATCTGATTTAATTTAATACTTCTATATTTTGTTACAGATTTTTATCTTAATTTAATTTTGGTTTATTTGTTGGGTATGTTTGTTGATGTGTGTGAGTATATTTTAGATGATGTGCTCTATTATTTATTAATTAATGATTAATGCTTGTTTTATAGTAATTTATGTATGTTTTTATGCTCTAATAGTGTAAGCCACCCAGAGAATCTTCAGGTTATGGGGCAGCGCAGAAATGGAAATAAATAAACAAACAAACCGCACAATATCATCTTTGATCGCCATATTCTTACTCAGGGATGTACTGCAGGGCCTGTTTCGGGCAAATAAGGACAGCTGAAGGAGCTCACGACATTGAGTTGTACTTTAGTATGAGAGCCATGCGGGTGAGGAGAGTCTCAGATGGGGACAGAAGGTCCTATGCCCACACCACATTCAGATGTGCCAAATACCTACATATGCATGCATTTATAGATTTAAGAGTGGGAAAACAATGACCTGCACAGAGAATTTCACTATCAGGCAGTATCAATATATAATAATAATAATAATAATAATAATAATAATAATAATAATAATAATAAGCCTGAGTGATATTGTCTGTATGCAGTATTGCTATAGGTATGGGGCTTGTAGCCAGATGCTGAGGCAAAGTCTTTCTTACAATCACTGCCCAGACTGCCTGGGTCTGACTACTGGCTTGAACAGTAGATGCCACATTTCCATTATTTTTCCATTATATTACTTTAATATTAAAGTTTAATCATTAGGTCCCATTGGTTTTTTTTCTTTGCTCCCCATTATTATTTCAGATCTCAGTTATGTGCATAATGCTGTGCTGCTGTGTCATTTGATGAAGTAACAGACTTCCCAAACATTTACACTATTTAGAAAAATCATTTGTGCCCTCAGATTCAGTGATAACCAATGATACAACAGAGCATTAGCAAAAGCAACATTATAAGTGTCTAATGATATTAGAGCCAGTGTGGTGTAGTGGTTAAGAGCATGGGACTGGGACTCAGACGATCTGGGTTCTAGTCCCCGCTCAGCCATGGAGCCAACTGGGTGACTTTGGGCCAGTCACAGAGTCTCAGCCCAACCTACCTCACAGGGTTGTTGTTGTGGGGATAAGATGGAGGAGGAGATGTAAGCTGCCTTGAGCCCTTTGTAGGAAAAAGGCAGGATATAAATCAGAAAATAAAATTAATAAAATAAATATTCATTATTCTGGTTTTATAAAGACTGTTCCTAGATGCTAGAGCGATGGTACATCACATTTTTCCAGGAGTGTATGTTTGTCTGCTGCTGAATCACCACTCATGGTTGGAATGAGAAGGGAGAATGATGTATCCAGATAGTACTCTTACCAGACCAATATACCATTGATTTCTCTTCAAACATGCAATTGTAATTGAGTTCTGTTTATCAAGCAAAGCCTTTGATAAAAACCATCATAACAAAACTGAAAAAGGGGAAACACAACTAGAATGTACTGTGATACCATTTGTTCCACATATTTTGTTTGTTCAGAAAATATATGGAAACTGGGCTATTGAGAAACCGTCTTCCACATCTGATGAAAATATGGGCCATTTCTGAAAGAAGGTCTTGCTTGGTCTGCTTTATTTAACTCTGCATCCCAATGATAATCTTGCTCCGTGTTCTTTAGCCCAAATCACAATTAGTGCTCCTGTGAGCAGGGCTATACCAGCTGATGCCACCCGCAATGCCATGTGCTTTCCTTGACCCACCTCTGGAGCTCCATGCATTTAGCACAACTGTCTGCAGCAAGGAAGCCCTCACACATCTGGGTGATCTGCCCTCCAGACTGCGCAGGATAGCAGTTGTGCAGCTGCCTTCACACAGACAGCCCCACCTTGGGTGGCTTCTTCACTGTCGACATTTGCAGCGGTGCAAGAGCGGTTGAGGCTGGGAGGTGGGACAAGTCAGGGTGGCCTTGTCCTTGGCTTATGCATGGGGCCATTAGCTGCGAAGAAGACTTGCACTGTCCCGTGTCACAAATGGTGTTTGTGTGCATATCCGGAATTTTGGTATGGCTGTATTTGGTTAGGGTGGGGGGAAAAAGAGAGAGTGAACAGTGAATAATGGCTCTGTCAGGAAAATGGTGGGGGTTGTAGGAGTCCTTTTCCCCTGTCTAAACATGGATGAAAATTTGTATTTTATGGCTCTTAGTTTGTGTTTATGCCAGATTAGCTCATGTTTCTTCAGAAAATTGAATTTAGAACAAGACTGATGCTGATATCGAATGAGTGCAGCAAGATGTTTGTGTTTGCCCTAACATTAGTGTCATGTGACTGTAGGCTATACACAACTGTTCACCCTCTCTCTTCTTAATTTAAATAAAAACAACTTTCTGTTTCAGTTTGTTTACCTGGGAATAATGGGCACTGAACCCAGCTTGAGACATCTCCATTTCAAAAGAGGATGCTTGTTGGTCTTTTGTAGCTGGGGTGGGGGCGGGGGTGGGGGAGGAGACAGAAAGGAAATGTTTAAAGTTTAGCAAACATGGATCAAAATGCTGCTGTGATAACAATTAAGCTGAATGGGAGGACACACACACCCATCCTAGCTTGAACAGTGAAATATTTAAAGTAGGCATAACAGAAATTTCAAATGTCTGCCTATCTCAGCTAGCAGGTTCCTCTCAAGTGGCAAACCTTTGATCACATTTTATTCAGTGACATTGCAATTCCCTTTAGGCAGTCAAGTTAGCCATTATTTTTCCAGTCACTATGAGTGCACTAAGATTAATGAGATAAAATCATTTAATAAAGTTATAGATGAAGTATAAATATACACTTATAGCTAAATATATTAGCTATAAACTTAATACTGACTAATATTTATTTCTGTTTGTTAGATTGGTGCCGTGTGCCTGGCACTCCTTCCCAACAAAAGCAATCACTCCAGTTGATGCTACCCAAATCTTTATTCTACACAGTATTACAATTACAGTCACACAGGCTAAGAAATTGTCCTCTCATTCTAATTAAGTTCCGCTTGCACTGTGTTTTTGAATCCTTCTGGGCCATCCTTCTAGAAGTGGGGCACTATGACCCCTTTCTCTGCAACGCTTAATCAATCTCTATTCCAACTGCCCCAATCTGTGCCTGCCAGAATGAGCATCCTCAACAGCTTCATCTAAATTCCCACATCCCATATCATCACCTGGTGGGATTGTTTCCCCATTAACACCCAAATTGGTCTCTGGATGCTCTTCTGTTTTGACACCTCCCTGGATTTCCTTATCTCCTGTACTTCCATTCCCATTGCCTATTCAGCTGGGGAGTAGAGCTTGTTAAGCTGACACCAGAAATACATCTTCATCAACCCTCTGGTTCTCATGGGAAGTTTTCTCCTCTTGTGCACGCACCAAGGACTCTTCTGAGTCTGCGTGCAGGACAGATGGATGACTGAGAATGGTGTGGTATATTAATGCACATTCTTGTACAGTTCTTCTTGTGTGCAAGATTCCAGTGTAGCAATTAACATGCTAGCCTAGGCCAGACCCAGGGGGACCAGAACTGTCTTCTCTGCCATTAAGGCTCACTGGTAGGGATCTACCAAAACAGGGAAATCCAGCTCAGCTGAGCTCATCAGATTTCTTGCCTGCCTCTGTACTGATGATTTGAAGTGAGCCAAGACAGGGGTTTTAGGGGGTTGGGGGAGGCACCTCTCTTCTTTCTGCAAGACAGACCAGAATGAGTGCATTTTTTAAAACAGCCAATGACATTTGAGCAAATAGACACCTAAAATCCATGTGACTCTAGTGCAATTTGTGCAAAATCAAATGACCTGAGCTCATGGTAATTTATAAGTAAGGCTAATAGTCCAGAGTCAGAGGGACTGAATCGCCAAAATCTCTCGAATTAGCACTCCTCTGTCAGAGTCCTCAAACACTGATACTCTGGCTGACCATCTCAGCGTAAGCTACCATACAGAGCAGCTGAGATAAAATGAGTGGTAGCAGAAAGAAAATAATACATGCTACCCTGAATGGCTTGGTGGAAGAACAAAATAAAATTGAAATGAAATTTGTGTAGTGTTAAAAAAAATAGCACAACTCTCCAAATTAAAAGCTTGTCAGCTTGGCCTACTTTTGCCCTCTTAATCACCAGGGACAGGGTGGGGGACCTTAAAGCAAAGAAACCCAGAGCAAATGTAAGCGTAATTTTGGCATTTCTAACATCAAGATAATATGGTTTTTTTGGGGGGGGGGGGGAGGAGGAGATCAATGATGGTATTTTACATTCTTTTGAAAATGTCGATTGCACTTGATTCAATGTGGATATGACTGATAAAATGTAAGAACAAGTACAACCTTTTTTCTTTTTCATAGACTTTCTTTAACTAACTGTGTATGTCTGCTCAGAACTAAGTCCAGCTGAGTCCAATGAAGCTTTTCCCCAAGTAAATTTTACAAGGATTGGAGCTGAGCCCCCGGCTCCTGAGATGCAGGCTTTTATTTTCAACACATTAACTGCAGATGTGATCCAATATACACAGAGGATGCAGAATTTTCTCTGAAATTTCCATGCAAGTCATTACTCTCTGCCAGGGCCAGCCCTAGCATTAAGCAAACTGAAGGAACCATCTCAGGAAGCTAATTATGGGTCAGCAAATTGTGGGTTTTTAACCTAGTAGATCACATTTCTGGTGACAAGGCTGCAGACAAGCAATTGGGCAGAGATGGGCTGAGTTGAAACCTGTATAGGTGACTTAATTCCTGCATTGAGTGGGTGGTTGGACTTGATGGCTTGTAGGCCCAACTGCATGATTCTTGAGACTTTTGCCTTGTGGTGGGGAAGGTTTTGTTGTTCCACTTCCGGCAGCCAAATATTCTGCCAGTTGCTGGAGAGGCTAGCCTCGTTTCAGTTGGAAATTCAGCCATTCTCTTTAGCAGTGGGAAGGGAAAGAAGTAAGTGGCAAAGATACCTTAGGCTGCAAATGTCATTTTTCCCATTTGTACACATACAGCTTTGTTCAAGTACAGCCAACTTTCTAAGCAAAGAAATAGATACTATTTACAAGCCAAGAACGCCCCCCCCCCGCCACACATATAACCCATAATTGAGAAAAGCTGCAATAGTGGGAAACCCTCACATCTAAGCATAGTTTCTATACAAATCCAATCATTTTTATGCAGTTCAGTTGCTGGCAATAAAATGCCAATTGTCAGGTTTTAATCAGTGAATTCCTTTACTTATGTTCTCTGACACTGATGCAAGGGGCTTGCATAAACAAGTCTATTATAATTATTTAGCAAAGGCTGAGAACTTCAAATGTAAAGTATGCACAGATGCTTTCCCTGATAGTAAATACACTCACTTACATTAGTGTCTAAGATTTTAAAGCACTGCTACTGTGTTAACAACTGCAGAGAATGCAGAAGTGACACTGCCCCTCCCAAGAGGGACCCCCAACAAAGGGCCAAATAAGGGTAATAGAAGATTAACAGGACCAGATTATGGAAAGTTTGGCTAATATGGGAACTGTCAATGCTAAGGAAACTGTTAAGGAATTTGTGATGCAAGGACAGTAGTCAAAACTGTGGCCTGTGTACCACCAATGTATACTTTTGGCATTTCACTGGTTAGGGACATCCCTGAGTTTGAGTGGGTTGGACTGTCATTTTACTTACTTACTTATTTATTTCATTTTTATACCACCCAATAGATGATGCTCTCTGGGAGGTCATCTGGTATGTAACTGGGTGCAAGAGAGGGACATAATCCAGCTTCAAATGTGCCACAGGTAGGAAGCGGGGACTGGACATATGGTCCTGCACAAGAGAAGCTGGAAGTCAAGGCACAGAGTACAAGTTAAGAAGTATAATAAGTGTATACAATCTAGGAGACCTCCATCTATCTATGCAGAATGGGAGGAGCTGCAGGACTGGAGGAGGTAGCTGTTCCAACCTCCTTTCCTTCAAATTTTGCTAGCTGGGCCTCTAACCCCATCTAGGTGATACACAGGAACAGAGATGGAGGCCCAGAGCTGGCTAACCAATACCATTTGTTACCCCCACCCACAAACCTGCCCAACAAACTTCCATTTCCTTCCTTCCTGAGATTGTGACAGCAACCTCAAGGAGATGGAACCAACACAGAGCTGTCATCAGAGGATGGAAAGGGTGGGGAGTGGTAAGCAGGAATGGATATTATCCTTCTCCCTGTGTTCATAGCTCTATTTTCTAGCCTAGGGAAAGAAAATCCCTCAAATCCTATGGCCCCTTAGACAACCCCTGAAGTTATAGGATTCCTCTACATGAGGTCTTTAAAAAAAAGTCAGGAACTGAATCAGAAGAAAAGTTTACCATTGTTATGATTGGTGCTGGTTTATGTTATTTTATTTAAGAACTGAATTATCCTTCTATATATGCTATCATATAACAGCTATCACATGTAGCAGTGGTAAAATCAACTACATAACGATCACAACAGGGAAAATAATGAAGTAAAACACCATTTCATTATATTTCACTCTATTGTTGTTATGGTGATTATATTATTGCTACTACTACCACTACTATTACTAATTTATTTGACTACAGCCCCAAAATCAAATATATTATTAATGGAGGGAAATGGCAAGTCTTTTTTCAGGAATATATCCCAAATTGTCACACAGTCCAAGCAAAGAGCTGTGGGGAAAAGGAGACTGTAACTCATTACCTCTCTCATGGCATTGATCTGAATTCTGCCCCACTCTCCTGCCAATGCCTGTTGTTTGCAAGGCAGAAAATGTGTGGTTGGTTTTTATTGGAAGAGGAAATGCCTATGCTAGTTCCAGGTTGGTGAAGCTGAGAGATACAGTCCTGGGGATTCTAAGGAAGGGTCTATGGATCCAGAGAACTCAGGACTGTCCATGGTCCAGAAAATCCCAATGCAGGCCCTCTGAAAATCCCAATGCACATCTTAGGCTGCCAGGGAAAGATGCTCCTTCTCTCATCAGCACAAATGTGCCAGAAGAGGGACACTCCTGCTCCATCTTAACTCTCCAACCAGTGGACTTGGAAGTTACAATTGCTCTGAAAATGAATAACTCACGCAGCAGTTGTTATTTTCAACTATTATTGAGAATTGGGGAAAAACAGGAATTTTGATGTTGGAGGAATATTAAGATATATTCTAGAATTGCCCTACCAGGATGAAATTACAGAATCTAAGAATTTGGCAGTAAGAACTCCTTTCTCAACCATGTAAAGAATGCTTGGACACATTAAAGAAAACTGAAAAGCCAAAACAAAAACATACCTTCCAGGGCAAATATTCGTTCTCCAAGAGCTTCAACAATTGTAAGCAGAGCAAATTCATCTGAGACATTAAAGAAATGGTTTTCGGTTGGCTCACTAGCAATTGATTTGATTTCATCAACAAGTTTTTCAGTGCTTAGGTTCCCCCGGTTGTAGTGGCCAAGAATCTATGGTGTTAAGAAAGCCAAGAAGACATTTAAGTCACAAGGTTTTACAGAAAGATGGTTCTGTATTTCACAACTGGTAGCATTTAGAAATTTGTGGGAAGCAAGGACAGGAACCATTGCCCTGGACATTTTTCATGGATATTGGACAAATATATGAACTGAACACTGTGACCAGCCTAGAATGAACACCCTTCAGTAATCTAGAAGTACCCTGATGAGGGACATTGTAACATGTTTTCATTGATCCAGAGCATGTGCAGCTTTTATCTATACATCCAAAATGGTTGCAAGCTACTTTAAAATGCTATTTATTCCTTTGGCAGGTGTGATTATGAGAAAGAATCTACCTTAGGAAGGGAAACAGATTTCCCAGATACAATTGTGGTAGGGACAACTAGCCATGGAAATAATTTGAATTTCACAATCCATATTATGAAGTGTGCTAAGTAGTTTCAGTGTTGTTTGTGTTTTGACTGGAAGATGCCTGAAGCTAAGCATGAGCTTAGCTTTCCCTAGACCTCATGACCAAAGATAAAACTTATAAACCCAAAGTTGTTCCTTTACAACACCATGCCATTATCTTGAAAACCCTGTAGTTCTGGAAACGGTGTGATTCCACGCTATGTAGTTTCATAATAGTCAAATAGTTTGTGGTGAGTTGTCTGATCTTGCAACCCCAACATTCCCCCAAAGCATTCTTTGCGGTCAGAGGCTAAAGAATACACAGTTGTTTTTAGAAGTAAGAGATAATATGCAATTCAGACAAAAACCTGGAACTAATTCAGGGCTCAGCTCCCTACCATAAGCAGTGAAATGGTTTTTGGACCTGGATCTAAAACATTAGAAATACCTATATTTATGCGGGGCCAGATCAAGGCCATGATGGGCCCCGGGGGTAGCCATCTCCAGCTGTACTCTGCTCACATTTGTGCACACACATGACCAGAGTGTCAACAATGCAACTTCCCTTTTCCCAAAGTATTTTAGCGAAAACCCCCTTCCATGCTTACATGGTGGGTTACTCAAAAATTATCAAAAGCATGCAGTGCTCAGCCACAGAAAACAAACACACACCAAAGCACTCACTCACTCTTACACACAAGTGCACACACATACTAAAGAAAGAAAGACTGAGTGTACAATTGGTTGCCCTCTTGGTGCTTGTAAACCCCAGAACTCAGAAGCTTATTAGCATCCTATGCAGAGCAGGTGGAGCAGTGGAGGCAACCTCTGTCTCCCCGTATCTCCCACTTTGCATTTTTGGCCATACACCTCCACCTTCTACATGGATTTCATAGAATCACAGAACTACTGCAGACTGAAGGCCATCTAGGCTATGCATAAATACCTCCAGCAAAAGAGGACTCACTTCCACCTCCCAAGACAGTTTAGTCCACCAGTAGCCATTACGACTGAGAATTTTCTTTTAATATTCAGCTGAAATCTGGTTGCATGAAACTTCCACTAGTTCTAGTTCTGTATTTTGGGGTAACTGAGACCAATCCTGATGCATCTTTTCATGACATCATGTCAGATTTTTGAATGTCACCATCATGCTCCCCCTGCCCTTAAGCTAGTCCTTGCTAAACATACCCAGCATTCTAAAACAAAACAAAACAAAACAAAACAAAACAAAACAAAACAAAACAAAACAGGTTTGTATGTTATCTTTTTTGTTGTTGTTTTTGTTGCTGTTTTCCTGTTGTTTGCCAGTTGGGCAATATATAAATATAATCGATGCCAAGTATCATTACTCAGTTCCTAAAGGATTAGCATCTTGTGGCTGTATGTTTGTTTATTTATTTATTTAGAACTTTTATATGCTGTCACCACATGCTGCTTCCAAACAAACTCGAAGAAGAACTTCTGTTGATTCTTAGGTCCTCGTAGAGCACTGCACTTACAGCAATAGAAAATCTCTGTATAGCTTCATTTTCACAATCCTGAATAACTTTTTCTAATCTGTAGCTGTCATGAGATTCTCCATCTGTCACGACTATCATGACTTTTTGGACTCCTTTGCGTGCACCACGAGCTTCTGTAAAAGCTTCTGTCCTAAAGTGGCACAGAAAGAAAGAAAGAAAAGTGAAGTAAGGAGACATGGTAACCATGGCATGAATGAAGGGGCGGAAATCAATCCGTGGTTAACAGCAAATGATGACATCAACAGGAAAAGAAACAGCATGACACATTTTAGGGAATTAAAACTTATTTCTAATGCAGAACAGAGTTCTATGAATAGCTTCAAATCTTTACAATATAGTTGGACAGAAAAGCAGGGAGCTGACTATAATCCGTTGTTTAGACTGAATCGTCAGTGAATGAAGAGTTAAGGATGGTCAAGGACTGGAAGAAGCAGCTTGGGCAAAGTGCTGGTGGTAACATCAATCCCAATATTTCATTCCACTGAGTTCAGCATCACTTACTCTCAGGTAAACAAGCAGAGGATTGCAACCTAGAGGAGGCTCATGGTGAAGCAGTAGAGCAAATGCCTTCTGTGTACACGAGACCAGGCTAGATGGACCAGTTATCAGGCTTAATATACATTCCAAGCCTAAAGCTCTGCTTTAAAGCAGGTGTCCTCTGGATTATCCACTAAAGCAATGCCAGTGTCATAGGACTGTGTCAAGAATATCTGTCTGCATGGAGGTCAAGGATCAGAATGGGCTTCCATGCCTCCAAATATAGGTCGTTTGGAAAGAACAGCTGGTGAGGGCCTTCTGTGTTGCCTATAAGCTTCCCAGGAGCATCGGTGGGGGGCGGGGGCACGGCAGGAATCAGTTTATTGGATTAGAAAGACTTTGGCCTAATTCAACAGGATGCTTGTGAAGTGGTGATGATGGGGATACCTGTGACAAAGTGACACAGTAACTCATGGGGCCTTGTCCCTTTTCCCAGTATTGTCTGTGCTTACCTTGCTGTATCTATTCCAAGAGCTGTCAGGGTTTGTGTCCCTTCCCTCTGCTTAATTTTATTTGCTGCAGCGAGCACATCTTCTTTGGTTGTGTATGTGTTGAGGTTGAATTCATGGGTTACATTTTCTCCATACTGAACTATCCCCGCCTGCAAGACAAAATTTCTTCTTTAAGCAACCTTCATAAGAGTGTTATGAAGAGTGTTTTCGTGATGGCGCAGAGTGCAGAAATGAGAGATTTGTCCAGTAGATGAGGCAGGTGGGCCACCACCACAGTAAGACTCTCAATAAATATGTGCATATTTAGATGGAGGAAATCCTGCAATTTTCCAGTATCCTGGGGGCAGAATCCTAGAGTTGCTGGATTTTTTTTTCTGTTGAAACATGAATATAATCGAGCCTTTATCCACTTTCTCTCTAAAAAATCTAAAGTGCATGTTAAAAAATCCTGTGCATGTTAGACAGAAGAAAGGCCTACAAGATACAGAATGCTCTGCCAATCATGCTGGCTTTTTCTGTCTAAACATGCAAAGGACTGCTCCTTAAATCAAAAGTTATTTCTAGGCCACCTATATGGGTAGAATTTTAGACTTGAGAAAATGAAGAGAACTCTGTAGCCTACCTGATTAGCAGTAGCTGGCCTGCTTAGAGCTGGTGTTTAGATCCATTCACATGCAACAATGACCCATTTACAAACAGGAAAAGCAACACACACCTTTGGTTATGGCGATCCACTTGGCTCTGCCTGCCATGTAATTTGTGTTGGCACTCATGCCAATTTGTACAATGCCAAAGGCTTGGGAAAGACTGAACTGCTTCACCCTGAACATAATTTCTTAAGCATGAATTCCACCTACAATAAAAGTGTACATGGGAAGCTGCTCATAGTGGCATCCCACTATCGGTGTTCATCAGGTGCCCATTCTTGCCACATATGTGGGATTTGCTGGATCGCCTGCCAACCTCACTTGTAAAAGAAACATGAAACCAGAGAGAGAGAATGAGACAGAGAAAAAGAAAACTTTTGCAAACAAGAACCTTTTTCTTTATCTGTATTTACTATTTTCCATTAGCATATTTCAAGTTTATGTTTTGCTTTGATATTTTGAGTATTCTCCACAACCCTGTTATAGGGCTATGATGCATTTTGATTGGGCATATTTATCTCTGACTTGTGCATTATTTAAAGCTCTGTGACATGGACAGACTGAAGAGCAACAGGGCCCCTTCGGTTTTTATCTAGTCATATCCTTTTATAGTGGGACCAGTTTGCATTTTAGGTTTTGATTTTACAGATATGTTATCCAGGCAGTTTTATAGCCCATCCCTTTTAGCACACAAGTATCTTTGCTTACTGGCACTCACGAATGCCATTTGAACTAAGATGGTAAAGCTATGTTAAATAGGAGCAGAGGGGGAAAGTTGTTTTACTGTTACAAATTAGAAAGTGGTTGTTACCTCACTGGGTTGTTGTGAAGATTAAAAGGGAGAAGGGGAGAAGGAATATGTCAGGTTTTTTTGCAGGAAAGTGATAAGCTGAGCATCACAAGCATATTTGGTGCCTTTACCTGTGGGATACCCTAGAGAAGGGGATGTTTATGTATTCACTCATTTGAAAAAGAGCCAGAAGTGACAATAGAAGAGAACATCTGAAATCGGTGTCTGATGAGTGATTTATTTTAAATCTAGGTTTTCTCACGCCATACATCTTACTTTTCTTGTCCCCATTTGCTTGTAATATCCCTAGTCTCGTTTGCCTGTAATATCGCTACATCATCTAATCTGACCCATCAAAGGAACTAGATGAGTCAGATTAGATGTCTTAAGACTACTGCCTGGGGTAGGAAAATGAAACTGCCATGAATGTCCTTGGTTTTAGAGCAGACTTTCCCAGCATGGTACCCTCCGCATGTGTGAGATGACAGCTCCTAGGCATGGGGTCCTGAGGAAACATATAGCCAAGTGGGACTATACATGATGAGTTATCTAATCCCAATGACCACTTGTAGTGGACCAGGTGGAAAGTACAAAGCCAGTGGCAGAGTACATGTCCAGCTTCCAAGTAGCTCCCCAGCAGTGGTCTTCTTAGGAGTGAGACATCAGAGAAGGATCAGGTGTAAGTTGTCCCTGAGCAGAATACTAGGAATGGGAGAGACTAGCTGAAAGGATATACCTTCCCTAAGTATCTGGTAAACCTGTGCTGGGATAACAGCTGCCTTTAGGACTGGGATGGTAAATTACTTCCATCCTGAGGGTGGAATGTAATTCTGGGTATTGCATTCCAGCTGGGGCTCGGGCTGAAAGGTTTGAAGTCCACTTAACCTAAAATGCCTGAAGATTTTAGTGTAAAGTGCTTACTATTGGTAAATAAGACTTAGGAGAGACATTCTAACCTTTGAAAATAGGGAAGAAATCCATACAAAAACTGGAAAAAAATCAGTTGATGGACCATCAGAGGGAAGGGCTTGGATATCACCATTTGGGAGCCTGGATGTCCAGGTAGTAGCTCAGGGTAGTTATACAGGGATTCAACATACCTGTGCTAGGTAGTTATAATCTGAGCTTTGTTCTAGTGCCATTCCTAATTCCACTTCCTGCAGTGATTCTTCTCCCTTGGTTCCTGAGCCAGAGCATGTGCACTGTGGATCCCACTGGCAAACCAGCTATGTTCCTGGCTGAGAACTAACTCTGGACATTCTGACATGAAAGCAAGAAAGATGAAATCTTTGTTCCACCATACCTGTGTCTGATGAGGACCTATGTCCATATTTTTCAGCAGTCTGTCTAAAAAAGCAGTGACACTGTGCCACGGGTAAATGCTGTTGGAGCCATCGAGGACTATGACAATGTCCATCTGGGTCTTGCATTCTGCAACATGAATTACGAAGTCATACAGTGGCATGCAATGCATTAACAGGGTATTAGGAATGTACATGTTTTTCTACTGGAACAAATTTGGCATCCAGCTACTTCTAAATAAATATACAGAGATTGCAACCTCAACTTATATGTAATACGAATAGTTCAAAGATTTGATGGGATAACCGCTGCTTCTTCCTTCTATCCCACTCTTTTTTCAGGGTAAATTCATACAACAGAGCATGGGAACTGTACAATCTGGGACGATTTAGTTGTGGTCTTGTGAGACAGTACTTAAAGTAGCTTTGCAGAGCCAGGTTCCTAGACAAAAGTTTTAGGCTAATGGGAAAGTTAATATCTATGTGCCACAATCATGGTACACTCATCAACCAGATATGTGTTGTAGGGCTAGGTATAGGGATTAGGAAGATGTGGTGGATTTGTTATGGTAGCAGTACTACAGATGGAAGTATAAGAGAAGAACTAAACTATGGAATTTACTTCCACAAGATGTAATGATGTTCACCAGCTTGGAGGAAAAGGCTATCAGTGGCTAGAATGGCTCACATGTATAAGAAAAAGAATGATGTAACTTCTGAAATGGTCACGAAACCAACCGTTCTAGCTTTCCCAAGTATGACACAGGCCAAGTAAAGAAAGATGGTTAATCTGGCATTAGTTATAATTTTCCTCAGCAAGGGAGCAAGTGAGAGGAAGGAAGAAGCAAAACCAGATGTTTCCACAGGATGCTCCTGGGAGAGGCTGCATTTTGAAGAAGAGAAAGGGTGCACCCTATATATGTTTAGATGAAAAAAAAAAAAAGTCCTACAACTTTCAGCATACTCCAGCCAGCAATGCTGGGACTTTTATGACCTTTTTCTGTCTAAATCTGCACAGGCGTGTGCCCTAAGTCTGAAATCCACATTCTTATGCTGGGAATGCCTTGTCTCCAAGAAATCATGTTGGAAAGTTGCTTTCCAGGGCTACATGCACAAAAAAATCAATGAAACCCACAGTACTCCTACCAGCATTTAGGCCATACTTGATTTCATTCACATGTTGCAGCAGCTTGCAACTAGTTAAACCATGGGTGGTGTGAATGAAGGGCAAGTGAATGTGCTAGATTTCACTCCTGATTGCTCCATTGAATCCAGTCAGAGCTGAATAATGGAGAGTGTTTTTATTGCTTATCCTGATTGCTAAACTTGGAATTGTGGGCTGTTGTGGGAGAAACAATCTAGCTGTGTAACTCTAGGATATAAAGCATAGAAACAGAGCGAGTCAGAAGGGTCCTCCTGGGCCATCTAGTTTGACTCCAAGCTCCAGCCAGCTCCGCTCATGACATTCCTACCATGTGCATGTCTAGCCTATCCCTGAACAACCTCATTGATGGGGCCTCAACCACCTCCCGTGGAAGCCCGTTCTATACCCTCAGAGGCCTAACCATCAGGAACTGCTTCCTGGCATCCAAATGGAACCTTGGTTCCCTGAGCTTGGCCCCGTTGGAGTGTGTCCTTTCCTCCTCTGCAGGGGAGAACAGGTGTCTACTCACCTCCGTGTGTCCCCCCCCACACACACGCATACCTCTATGTCGCCAACAGATCCCCTCGGAGTCTCCTCTTCTCCAGGCTGAAAAGGCCCAGTTCCCTTAGTGTCACCTAATATGGCTTTCCCTGCAATCCGGCCACCATCCTTGTGGCCCTACGCTGCACTGACTCTAACTTGGCTATATCCTTCCTGCAATGAGGGGCCCAGAACTGAACACAATACTCTAGTTGTGGGCGCACCAGATCGTATAGACTGGTAGTAATACCTCTCTTGATCTAGAAGCCACGCTTCTGGCTATGCAATCAAGGGTGGCATTCACCCTCTTGACCACCGCATCACACTGCTGACTCATGTTTAGCCTGTAGTCAACCAGTACCCCAAGGTCCCTTTCACAAGTGCTGCTCTCCACCCACTTGTCCCCTAACCTGTACTTATGACACCCATTCCTATCCCCAAGTGCAAGACCTTGCACTTATCCACATTGAATGCCATCCTGTTGTCTCCTGCCCACTTCCATAATCTGTCCAGATCCTTCTGGATCTGGAGTACCTGCTCCTCAGTTGTGGTCAGTGCCCCCATTTTAGTGTCATCTGTGAATTTGATCAGCAGACTGTTCACCCCTTCTTCCATGTCATTGATGAAAAGATTGAACAGGATTGGCCCAGGACAGAGCCCTGGGGGACCCTGCTAGTCGCTGGCCGCCATCCCGATGATTCCCCACTAATGGTTACCCTCTGCTTTTGGTCAGTCAACCATGCCCTAATCCATCGGACAGTGCATTGGTCTACCTCAAAACTCCTCAATTTCTCAAGCAGGACAAAACACGAGTTTTAACTATGGGTTGTTTTTCACCCAACAACCCACAATTCTAGCTTCAGATGTCATGGACGGAGCATCTCTGGGCTGTACACATAAGTAGGAGTGGGTGGGCACCCTTCTTTGCCGCCACTCATGCATGACTAAGCTTGAAACAAACCCTAGAGGGCTGTGACATGTGAACCAGGCCTCTGCCACGCTGCAGGCTCTGGAATGCTTTCCCCAGGGAAGATATCTCAGTACTCATGGTGATGTCAGTAATTCCATCCCAGATAAAAATCATTTAAAAAATGTTCCCACGCTTTTGCATCCTTGGAAGCTCTTCGGAATGAATGTGTTTGACAGTCACATACGGCCATTAACATGACAAATGCAGTCCAGAGTAAGCAACCGTAAAGTGATGCACAGCGGGACAGAAGATCCTAACTTCCACTGTACAGTGACGGTGTCTGAGCTGGCAGTGACTCACAGACCAGCAGCTGTGAAAAAGGCAAATGTTGCCGATCCATGCGGTGGTGGATTACAAAAGGAATCAGAAACAAAACTGTCGATATCAGAATGCCTTTTATAAGTCTGTGGTTCAGCCACATTTGGAATACTGCACTCAGTTCTGGTCTCTGCATCTCAAAAAGCATGTTGTAGATTTAGAAAAGGTACAAGAAAGAGCAACAAGAAGCCCAGGACCCTGAGCTTAGAGGCTGACAGGTGTGGGGAGCAGCAAAGGCAACCTTCACCTGCTTGTCCTTCTATCCTGCGTTTTCACTAGATGGGGTTTTGGCTGTCCAACTGGAGCACTGCAGAATGGGGGAGGGGGGAACAATTCCAGGATGCCCCACTTCAGTTGCTTTACAGACCTCAGAGAGAGTGCTGTTCCTTCCATGAACCCTCAGACTTTATCTAGAGGCCATCGGATTATCATCTAAAATGATCAAGGGCTGGAACAACTTCCCTATCAGAAAAGGTTAGCATTTGTGACTGTGTAGCTTAGGAAAAAAAAAAAAAAGAGGAAGCGTGGGCACCATAACAGAGGAGTACAAAATTGTGGGACTGTGGAAGAACTAGATAGGGAAGTGTGTCCTTTCCCTAATGACAGAACACAGAGTCGTTTTATGCTGCGAGTTTCAAGACAGATAAAAGGAAGGACTTCATCACTTGGTGCACATTTGTCACCACAAGTAGAGATGGCCACCAACCTAGACGGTGTTAAAAGGGAATGATTCATGTTCATAGAAGGCATTTGCTAGTAATGGCCTACTAGTCGTGATGGCTGTATGTTCCTACCAATATCAGAGGAGTCCGCCTGTCAGTACCCCTTGCTCTACCAAGGAATATGATGCTGACTAGATAGACCTTTAATTTGATCTTTCCTATGTTCATCCTTATGTTCCTAGGTACAGCTCTTTGCTAAGTTGTTATCTGTTGCATTCTGCCGCTGTTTTAAATTGCTGCTGTGTCATTACAGTGGTACCCCGGCTCACAAACTCCTCAGTTCATGACCAAATCGGGTTGCGAAAAGAAATTTCAGAAAAAAATTGCCTCAGGTCATGAACTCCACATCGGGGGACGATCGCGGTCATGCTTGGGGGGTGGGGAGAGATGGCTACGATCATGCTCGGGGGGCGGGAAGATGGCCATGATTGTGCGATTGCGCCCATCTATGGCCGTGGTCGCGCTCATGCAGGGAAGATGGGCATGATCACGGTCGTGTGGGGTATGGGGGCTGGAGATGGCTGTGATCTTTGTTGTTCTTTGTCACTTCGCTTCAATTTTTTGTGATTAAAAAAAAAATAGTTACAGAACGGATTAACCTTATTTACATTGAACCTTATAGGGAAATTTGACTTGGCTCATGACCAATTTGGGTCGTGACCAGAGTTGTGGAACGGATTACATTCGTGAGCAAAAGTACCACGGTATTTTGTTAATACATAATTGCTATCATTATGATATAATAACCAGCCCAGGAGTGATAATTGGGGTTGAATGTTTGTGGCGTAATTTTTAGAATGACAAACTAGCTTGTTTGAAAGTTAGGCCTATTGGTTCCTAACGATTCAGTTCTGGCAGTAGAAATTATGCCTTTGTTATCTTATACTGCTCTCTAGGTAGGGTCATGTCCCATCTAAGTGCCATTGGGAAAGGTGGCATCTCCTTTCTGTGGCCCAGGTGCATGCAGCATTTTCTCAGATGCATGGAGCATCTTCTTGCTTTGAGGGAGTGTTATGATGTCATCACAGGAGTAGCAGAACCTGTCCTGTTCCAGCTATAGTAACAGAACAAGTTTATCAGGGCATTGTAAGCCATTTCTCTCAAGTTTACTGGAAATGCATGAAGATTATTTTTAGCTGGATCACTGCTCATGATGGAGTACCCCAAACCCTGTTTATTCTAAAATGAATTCCAGAGGCAGCAAACACTTCGGTATTTATGGACAATGATAACATTTACTTAATTTGGTAATGTTGGTAGCCTTGAAAAATAGTTTATGTTTCTGTGTATACTTTTGTCTCCTTCAGTACTCCATACTTTCAACATGTATATGAACAACCTTCTTATGGACATACCTTGGACAGATGGGGCGATGGAGTTTACGACCTCAAAAGAAGAGCTGACATTGGAACAGATGCCAGTGGTATAATGCAAGCCACCGCATTTGTAGGCATAGAGAGGCCCACATGCCTTTAGGAAGGAAGGAAATGTTACAAATTAGTCCAGCTTACTTCATACAAAATGTATTTTGGCAATGGCTGGAAATACACTCGCTGAAGTAAAACAGCGATAGAAACATTACAGCATCGATGTGATGCCATTTCAGGTAGAGGAATATCCCCAGTTTAAGCATCATGATAGCCCAGGTTTTTTCTTTGAAAAACTATCTTGTGTTGTTGTGAACACAGTATTGTGTTTGTATACACTGTCCAGTCTCTCCCACTGCAAGTATACTGGGTGAGCTAGGGGGACATTCCGTTACTGGTTTGTTCGGCAGGAGAGATTGAGCAGCACACCGCTGTGTTTATAATGACCTTCAGTTTAAAAAAATGCAGGCTTTGTTCCAAGTTAGCAGGACCACTCTGACAACAGAAGGGTGAACTTAACCTGAATTACAGCAAGACTTCCCAATGGGCAACACACAAACTCCGTGGCTCATGGGCCCATTAAAATTTTAGCTGGAAACTCTGCCAAATTTCTATCAAAATGTGGGCAAGTGTCCACAGTCAGGGAAGAATATGTATTCACGTTCAGTGAGATCTTCTACACTTCAGTTAGAATGTTCTGCATTGCAAAATTCTACCCTCAGTTGTACATGATACAGAGCAATAAAAATACATATGGAAATACACATGCATATGTTATCTTGTTCCTGAGAATATGTGATCCGTGCTTCCAGGTGACACTAATTTCAATATGAACTATTCAAGACAAATTATGGATAGCTGCCTGTGGCAACTGGGGTATGGACTGCTGTGTGGGTCATGAAGTGGCTCTAAGAGTATGGTTGTTGGCTATCTGCATATCCAAAAGGCACTTCACTACCCATATTTCATTAATTTAAGGATTGCAGTGAATCCCAGGAGCACAGTTTCACTTGTGGAAAAGGGCATTTTCTAAATCTTGGCATTCCTTTCTCCTTTAGCTCCTTGCACATGCTGAAAAACTGCTCCACATGACTGGGGCGTTCTCCAATGTAGCACAGCTGACAGAGTTGGAGGGGAAAGGTGGCATTGGTGAAAATTGTCTCCTTTGATTTTGTTTGCACAAACTCTGCTTGACCCAAGCCTCTTCCAAGGATGGAAGGGCTTTTTTTGTACAAACCAGGAGCAAGAAACCACTGGTTCTCCAGGTGTTTTTGTACTCTGACTCCCATCTTCCCCAGGCAATGATCAGGAATGGAGTTGGAGTCCAACAGCATCTGGGAGTAGAGCTTCCTAATTCTGCCTCAAATGGAAGGCCCATTGGTGGAAAGGCTCTGCTAAATTCAAGCCATTATAAATGTGCATATTTATAAATATTTGTTTAAAACAATTATTTGCTCACCAAAAACCCTCCTTCTGGATTAGTCACTAAAGTTGATCCAAGGGTCATGTTCTCCTTTACTTCTGTAACTTTAGGAATGGATATATGATCTATAAATAGATAAAATATTTTAACTATGTGGATATGTGCAAACAAGATATTAAATCATGCCGTGGTTTTGCTAAACTAAAACATCCAAGCTTCCATACAAAACATGGTTCTTTTCTGTTCCTCTTCCTCCTCCCTGTTCCCTTTTGATTAGGATTCTGATGAACAAGTCAAAGTCCTGGCTCTCATCCCAGAATCTTTGTCTGGAGCAATGCTTCACATGGTTTTCTTGAACCTCAAAGAGAATGTCAACACAGCAGTGCAGAGACAGCAAGAGACAACTGTCCACATACACTCGCTGATAAGAACAAATAAACTTTTCAACTTCTATATGATTCTACCATTAAACTGGCTCATTATTCAAGGTTCAGTGGCACACATGGTTGGTGTTACAGTGGGTGAGAGGTGAAATAATTATGAGAAAAGAAATGCATTAGAGCTCACTTTGTGGTGCTTGTAAAAGTGACCCCTGTAGGACTATGCTGGTTGTGAGAATAGACTTGGGGAGAGAGTCAGAGGGTCCCTGCTGATGGGGAGGTGGAGGAAGACCCTGGATGCCTGAGAGAAATCTTGGTCCCCTGTCACACCACAAAGAGCCACACATTGTTAAAGAAAGTCCATAATGGGAGAGATTGCTAGACTATGTAAGCACCATTGAAGGGTTTTCAGTTAAAGGCTATGTATGGGCACAAAGGAAGAGGACATGGCCACTGGGAGAGAGGATAATACTGAGTGGAATACAGGCCAAGCTTTAGCACAGTTCAATAAAGGAACAGAAAGGCTGAGCAGAATGCAGACGACGGTATAATTCCATGTAGCAGACTCGGGCAATGGAGTCTGCACAAGTGAAATGATCTCTCGATAACAGCCTGCAGATTTTGTGGACAGATATTTGATTTTAATAGACACCATTATCTGAAAATGTGCGGTACTCATGTCCACATTCCTGAACATACATGTAGGAGGAACGACAAGGTTTAGGTGAAGGCCAGGGATGTCTCTGCTCACTTGAGGCTGGTGCACCAACCATGCTTGTTCCCAGATATGTCTGCCGTGACCACATGCCTTAGTTATATCTCATCATTCTGAACTACTGAAATGTGTTGCTTGTGGGGCTGTTTCTGAGAAAAGTTCAGCATTTTCTAGTTGAAGTTGATTGTAATGGATGTGGTGTCACTCCAACAGCTTTGTTGGCAACTGATTCATTTCTAGGCACAATTCAAAGAGTTGCCCATGACCCGAAGTTGCTTGGAACATGGCCTTATGCAGAGGACTATCTTTTGCTGTATGAACTTGCCTAACCCTTCTCTCAGTCCTGCCTGCCAAATTCTGGCAGCAACACCAGAGAGGACCTTTTCAGTGGGGCAATCCTGTCATTGGACCTCTGTCTCCCTTCAGAGATTCACTTCTCTTTGTTGTCATTCATCCACCAGGCACATGCGTCTTTAAACAAGCATTTGGCCTATCAGACTTGCCATTTGCAATATCCAAATCTGTTCAGATCTTCCAGCAGTTGTGCTCAAACTTTAACTAATTTGTATGCCTTGATTTTTGTATGCCTTGATTTTATATTGTATGACGATGGTTTCTTCCATTTATATCCCACCTTTTTCCCTCTTGTAAGGAACCCAGGCTGGCTCCCATGGTTTCCTCCTCACCATATTATTCCAACAACAATCCTGCTAAGCAAACCAGGCTGAGAATCTGTGATGGCCCACAATCATGTTGGGCGCCATCCAGTATAGCTGCCTTCAATCTCGGGGGACTATAGGCATGCAATGGAAGGTGCCCTGTTGCCCTTGCTCTTAAGGAGAAGGGGCTGAAGCGTTTCTGGGGCTCCTTGAATCTTGCTCGAAACTTCCCTATCCATTCTCCAGAATGCCACCCCCACCCCAGCCCAAAAGTCGTATTCACTGTTTTGAAGCTGCACCTAGCAGGGAAAGGAGCATGCTGGTTGTGAGGACAGTGGGAGCTTGCTCTGAGTTTGGGGGCCCAGCTCCAACCTTGGAACCCATTTCTGTGGCTGGAGCTGGGACAGAGTCTAGAGGCCATAGGATTGCACCCCTATTGAGCTTTATGGCAAAATGGGGACTAGAACGTCCAAGTTCCAGCTCAGTACTCTAATTATTACACCTCACTGACCTTTCAGTACTTTTTATGATTATCTTATGTACCATGGTTTATTTATTTTACTTTGCTGCATATTGTCAGGAGCTTTAAGTCCAGTTGACAGAAAGGAGGATATAAAGTGTAAGTTATAAGCAAAAGGGGTTTTTTTTGTCCTCCACTTATAGAACTCAAAAGGAATTTGCTTATCCCTATCTTTGTTTTCCTTCAGGCAGGGCCTTATTTCAATCTTCTTTTATGTTTTGGAAATAAATGGATAAGTAGGATGATGTTTTATGTTTGTTATATTTTATGCTACCTTTTTACCCATTCGGGCATGGAGGAGTTTAAATTGCTCTTCATTTTCATAACTGGAAGTTATATTGTATTATTGTTTATAACTTCCTGTATATATACCACTTTGAGAGAATTTTTTCATCTGAAAAGCAACACAAAACTTGATTAAAAAGAAATAGAAAAAAGAAAGAAATTGAAAGTGAGTTGATAGTGTTGGGAACTGAGTGTGGATCTCACGGCACAAGCCTACTTTTTGCCTACTTTAATTGATCTGTACATATCATCAGCTACAATCCCTATTTCTCCAACTAATCCACAAAAGTTAACTCTGGGCAGGACTGGGACAGGAAGAGAAGGAAGAGTCAGAGAAAAGTAATTGCATTTGGTTCTCTGGATCCCACCAACAGCAAGGAAACACGAAAGCACACACTGAAAAGAAACAGGAGGTTTGGCCAACAATTAAGCAAATACTACAGCACTGGGAAAGTGATAGTTTCACACAGTCCACCTGCTGACTGTTTGAAACTAGCATAGAATTTATGTGAGCAAGCACCGTTTATTATTATTACAGTTGTAGCCTGACTTTTTGCTTCTTTCAGGAAACACAGATGGATGAACATGCTCCACCACTTCTGTTTTATCCACACAACGACCTCTGAAATAGGTTAGTCTTAGAGACAGTGACTGGCCCAAAGTCACCCAATGCGTTACATGACCAAGTGGGAACTAGAACCCCAATCTCCTGAGTCCCAGGGCAGATTAGACCACACCAGCTCTCAAGTGAAGTGAAGCAGAAACAGGTTCCTGATACTGCCAGTGGGGGACTGAAAATGGGCAGTGTGACCTTTGACGGGCAACAGACTACCATGAAAAGGCACAAGGGGCAAGGTAAGCGTCAGTTTGGAGCACAGCAGTTCCTTGCAACCAGAAAATAAATTGCTGGAAAGCAGTAAGGGGAATGGAACAATTGGAATGCACTGCCATAAGCTGCCTACAGAGCTGCATAAAGCCCTCTGAAAAATGGACCCTTCACAGTTGTGACAACTGCACGATCTTTTGTACCAGACTGAACCTAGTAAAGTCTCCCCTGTCACAGGCGGGAGCACAGGAGAACATCAGAGGCCGTTTGATAACAAGTCAGCCAATAAATCAATCCAGCTCAGTATTTTCTGCAGTCAGTTGCAACAGCATTCCCGGTTTTCCAGTAAAGATCTTCCCTGCCCTACCTGGAAATGCCAAAGATTGGGGCTGGATCCTTTTTCATGCAGACTCTGCAAAGTGTTCACAACTGAGTTATGGCCAGCTATGTTTAATTAATTAGCCAGCCCTTATGTTCATTATGGTGAATCTCCCTTTCTAGAGCAGAGCTGTGAAACTTGCCGGGTGGCCGGCCCATCTGTGCATCAAGAAGGCATTTCTTCCCAATACCGGGCCACAGTGCTCCCCCACCTCCCCGAAAAGGAGGGATGGAAAGCATGTAGTGCAGATTAAATGTTTAATCAGACATAAAGCTATGCCAGATGCTTTCAAGGATGGAGACACCCTAAAAACAAAGCAAACCAGCTGCCACTCCCCAATTCTTAAATCAGCTTTCACTCCAGAGCCAGGTATACATGAAGTCCGGGAGATGCAGAGGTCAATCCACATTAAAAGAAAAGGGAATGTAACACTCACTCCCGTTTTTATGTACCTCTGAATGCAGACATAAAATCTTGTGAGGTAAGAAGTGTTGACAGCCCTGCCAATGGCCGGGGGAGGAAAGAGCAAGGGCTTAAAAAGTTAATGCAGTGTAGTGAGAACCAAGTCTATATACATAAGAGATTGTGACTGATAAAAGCCACAAGTAGTTAAAAAAGAATAAAAGGATAATCCTCTTCCCACCAAGTCAGGAGAAGACAAGAAAGAGACTGAATAGGAAAAGAACGGGCAAGTCAGGTCACTTATTACAATAACAATAACAATTCAGATTATGTAAGAATGACATGTGTATGTGCGGGAAGAAAGTAATATGAGGGTGAACATTTCTAAAAGAAAATCAGAAAATGTTGTCAAAGAGAAAGTAAAGGTATGTTAACAGTTCTGACTACAGGCTAATTATAACTGGGGAGAACAGCAAACAACTACCCTCAAATGGGGGCAAACTATGGTTTCTGCAAGCCAAAGTTCTGATTTGGAAAAAAGCAGAACTGTAGTTTGCTGCCGAAGCGCTGAAAGCAGGGAACATTTAAAGGAGAGGCCTGTCATTCTATTTAACCAAAGTGTAAGCAAGACACACATCACTGTAGAACAGCTTTCCTCAACTTGGTGCCTTCCAGATGTTTTGGATTTCAACTCCCATCAGCCCTAGCCAGCATGATCAATGGTCAGGAATACTGAGCACTGTAGTCAAAAACACCAAGAGGACACAAGGTGGGAAAAGACTGTTCCAGAAGATAGATTTAAATGCAAATAGTGCTCGACATAAATAAAAGGCAAGGAAATAAATATGATGTACATCCTGCCTTCATAAGGAACCCAAGGAGGCTTACATAATCTTCCTCTCCATTTTATCCCCACAACAGCCCTGTGGCTTGATATGCTCAGAATCAGTGACTCCATAAGTTTCATGGAGACTAGAACTCAGATCTCCTGAATTGCAGTCCAGCACCCTAACCATTAGTGATTATTTGAATCAATTGAAGATTATTCAGCCCTTCCCAGTGGACTATCAAGAAACAAATTTGCACCATTTTCTATGTGGCATACTTTAGTGGTAGCAATCCTGTTTCCATCCTGAAATGAGGACAGGAGAGGTGTAAAGAAAACATTAGCAAGTCCCAACATAGGACAGACCTACTCTGAATTTCTGCTGATCAATATAAGCTCTTACCTGCTAAGTTTAGCTTTACACATGGCAAGCCACTGCCCTGTCCTACAGGGCATTTATACACATCACCAGTTCTCTTCTGGGGCTGACCAGATAAGGGTGAACCTATAAGAACCCTGAGAAAGGAAAGAAAACACATAAAGCATTTTAAAAAGAGTAATCATTTCAGATATTCTTTTACACCGCAAGAGGGGAGACACATTTCCTGACTTAAACATGATCAACTGCAGAGAGCAACAAATAATGTTGGATGAAGATAACAAAGGGAAAAGACTTAGTTACAACACAAAAGGAATTCTTGGGTGAGGAGAGAGGTGAAGCAATCCATAAAAATAATTGTACCATTTTCCTTCTGCGTTTTCAAACTGTTGAACCGTGTATCCAAACATATCTTCCACAGGGCCACTGAAGGTCATTGTATCTTTCACATCAACATTGAATGACAGAGTGAGATGTAACATAACTGTAAAATAAAGCAGAAAAAATATGGAAGACTATGAATTACCCGGCCAGGCTTGTGAAGGGCATTTTTTCCTGATGGAACTGGATAAGGGTGAAAATTGCATTCATGTTTAGACCAAAAATTAAAATAGAGAAGTCCTACAACTCCCAGCATTCCTCTGCCAGCCATGCTGGCAGAGGAATTTCACCCTTACTTCCTCAGGAGATAAATGGCATTCATGCAACATGACTTATTCATCATAAGTTCATTGCTGCATTAAGCTTGCTTATTTAAGTGAATGTGGACTATAAGTGCTGCTTTCAGATAAAATACAAAGATTATTCTGCAGCAAATGATGGGCAATTTTGCATAAAAGCTGGTATGATAAATCAGGACTGGCAAAGCACAGGTTCAAAACACTTCCTCATTCACAGAGGTACATGGTTAAAATTGGAGCAGTCACTGGCCAGGTTCACACATCACAAGAAACCATCGTGAATTACCAATAATGCTAAAATGGAGTTCCTAGGTCTGGACAGACAGAGAAGCCACAGTGAAACATGGAAAATTTTAAAAAGGCTGTTGATCTTCTCTGTAGATTCAGGGAGCTAAAGCTACCATGCAGAAGTGCCACAACTAGAGGCTTTTCATGATGTAGCAACCCAACCCACAGGAGTTCTGAATTTTGTGCTGTGAAGTTTCCATGCTTCACTGTGGCTTCTTGAGATGTCTGGACTTGGGAGCATCATAATTCGGCTGATGAAATAGAATCCCACAAAAAGGGTAGCAATAGAAGGGGCTGCTCTAGGCATCCGATCTCAACTACCCAGAGACTCTGACAACATACATGTCATTACTCTCTTTGTGCCTGTTGGTTGAGTGATACGCCCATCACTGTTTCCTTTCTGAAACATGGAGGAAAATGGGTAAATGCATGAAGGAACAAGGAGGTAATTGCTCCAGAAGTGTTTGTTTTATTTTAATAAGAACCTTCAGAGGCTGGAGCGGCTAGGAACCGCTGCACAGATGAACAGACATTCTATGTCAGTTCTGGCCCACTGACATCGCTACACCTAATCCAGTGCAGAATATTCTGACCAGCTGAGTTTTCACATCTTTTCTACCTGAGATACACCAAGAAGCTAGGTTTTAACAATCGACTATTTAGTATTAAAATATAAATATTGCATAAACAATTACTGTAACAAGCATAAACAATTATAAGTAGGTGGCCAAAAGCCATCTCTGGCAAGGAGCTGTGAGAAAAGAAAAACTCAGGTAGGTTTTTAGGAGGCAACAGAAGATGAATGTGACATAGACAGATTGCATTTTCAGAATGCAATCCTATGGCTTCCCAACATTGTCTGTGGGGCCACAAGTTTATCTGGAGCCTCAGTTATGCGTTCCTGTGACCTTGGAGCTGGGACTCCCAAGTCCAAGCCTTCACCCTGATCCTAGCACAGAAGGAGATGATCTGGCTGCCTCCCAGGGTGGCCCCAGGGCCTGGGAGCGAATCCAAAAGGGCATGGCAGGGCCAAGAAGGGTAGGAGGCTGGGGCTGACAGGTTGTGCTGAGTCCTTGCAGGGCCCCAGCCTTCTTTGCTCCCCTTCCCAGGCACTTCATCTAGACAGCAAAAAATGGCTGCCTAGGGTTTGGAGGCATGGACAGCTGAGAACATTGGATCACACCCTTTATCTCTTCTGTGAGGCAAGAAAGAATCAAAAGCATCCCTCACAGATCATCTGCAGTGATTGGAGCACATGTGGCTTCACTGGAAATTTTGCCGTCTCCCACAAAAAGCACCGCACTGTGCTCTCTTACCCGAACATCACGCATTCAGTTCTGTCACTAAGAGCCTCATATTTTCTTGCACTCAACACAACAAATTCTGGGGGCACTGAAACCTATTTGGCATAGCTTGTGCAAGGTCTTCCACTCCATTCAAGTCAGTCAAAGAACGAAGTAAGTACATCCTGTCAAGGGATGATTAATTTTTAGAACCATTTAGAAAGGCAGTTGTGAGGGCATCTTAATGGTATGATTGCCTTTAATGGAACTGATATAACCAGTGTAGTGCAGTATATATTGTGCAAGTCATTATGGTTTTGTTCAAAACAGAGCATAGGCGATGGCCCTTATACCTTTTCCACCAGAAACAAAATTCCTGAAGTGGACACCCTTCAAATGTAGGTGTGTAGATCCAGAGCTGCTGCTGTTGTCATCATCATCGTCGTCATCGTCATCATCATCTCTATACCACCCATAGCCCACTCTCTGGGCAGTTTGCAAAATGCATTCAAAAAAGGATAAAACTGTATTGAATAACACATTCTCTGACCTTTTCTATTTTGTTCCTCACAGAGAGACTGACTTGTAAATAGGGGACAGACGGGCTCTTATGCCAACTATTGCCCCTTTATGTATATATAGTAGCGTGTAAGATGACCTTGAAACTGAAAATAACAGAACAAAAATCAAGGGTCATCATATATGCCAGCTGAAAAATTGTCCCTGCTGTAGTTTGCTTTCAGTGTTGCAAGCCTCGTGTGTGGCCACATGCCCAGTCTGGAGTCTGGCACCCACCCAGCCTTGCTGTGGGGGAGATGCCCCATTCTGCACTGGTCATGATGGTGGCCAGGAAGGAGAACATTCCCTGTGCTTCTGTCTGCATAGAAGCTTCCAGCTGACTAATTCCCCTACATACCAGCATATAAGATGCCCTACGAATAGGAAATTAGTGAAGTAAACATTGGAGTTGCCTTATACGCCTGACGTATGATAAACACCAGGGAAAAAAGTCCCAAATATTGACACTGTCTTGTACACGAGTTGCCTTATACGCTGGTATGTGTGGTAATATCAGTGTCCCATTGAATGTGTGTGCTATGCTCAGGCTTTAGGATGGAAATTTTGCATGTGGACAATCATTCCCTGACTGCCTTTCAGAGGCTCTCTAAAGCTGTCATGGCCAGTAGCAACGGACCTCCATCCATGTGCCTAATTCTCCCTAAAGCATATGGCTAGTGGGCCCACCATAACTTAGACCAGTGAGTTCCAGAAACACAATGAGAGAAGAGGGAAAAATCCATCTTCTCTCATAATCCACCGTGCAAAATTTATGAAGGTTTTGTCATATCCCCACCACCCCGAACTGTGCAGTCCTGCACATTTCCACTAAGCAGTACATACTACACCTGCTGGATCAGTCCCAAGCCTTGTCTAGTCCAGCCAATCGGAGGCCTACTGGAGACCCACAGTAGGGCATGAGAGCCATAGCACCCTTCTGTACATATTTCCCAGCAACTGGTGTTTAGGAGCCTACTACTCCAACACTGGCTTCAGTATGTAGCCATGGTGATGAATGGCTATGGATTGCCTTCCCTTCCATGAATTTGTTTAACTCCTTTTTCATGCCACCCAAGATGAAGGCCATCCCTACATCAAAGCAGAACACTAAGACCGACCCGGTCTGTTCTAGCCATGCTGTCTGTCCGTTCAGTTATTTTGAAAAATCTATACAGCTGCAATGTTTTCTACAGTGTGGAATATCTCAAATACTATTCTCAGAATATTTTAAGAGTCTGAAGGTTATGGTATGAGTTGGAGGGCTTGGACCTCTCTAAGCCAAATTCAAAAGATTAGGAGATGTGAAAGAATACACTTATGTTCTTTTGTCCCACTTGTTCCTTTTAATGGCTCTTGTAGTGAAGGTGTTTCTTGTGGATAAAGATCCCCGGAGAAGCATAAAGCTCATAAAAAGTTGTTGATAATTAAGTGATGTGAGGATTCACAGTGAATTTTATGAGGCCATAATCAAGCCTTTCAGTGCCTTTTACAGTAGTCCAAGCTGATAGACCAGAATTATTGCTTGTAAAAGTCTGCCTGCTTCCATTAGTGCTCTTATGATCCTTGGCAAAATGGTGAAAAATTTAAAAGTTATTGACAGTAAAGGAAAGTGAGGGAGAAGACATTTCCTTGGCTTTGCTAGGATAAAAAAGAGGAAAGAATCCATACCAGTGTTATTATGCTCTAACAAAACTAGAAGCTCTCAAAACTAGAGCTTTGACTGGAAGCTCTCTAAAAGGCAGTAAAAGTTACTCCACACACTGTATGTGAAGACAACTATCGTCATTAGAGAGAAGAAAGCAGTGAAGTTCTTAGAATACAGAAGGATAAATACAGCAAACTCATTCTCCAAGTTCGGATCCTTATATAGGCAAAACAGTACCACCCATGCAGAAGAGGAGGGGATTAATAGGCTCAAGTTTTAGGGCCCAGAGGTTTTATGAATTACAAATCACTTGACTAAAAATTAAAAGGAAGAGAGTATGCAATAGCCCAGTGAAAACTTTGCACGCTCTAAGGCCATGGAGTGCTGAGAGGGAGAAACACGGAAAAGCAGGGAATAGTAATGAAATGGAATCTTTGTTGTGAGCTGCCCCGAGGCTTTGTTGCGATGGGGGCGGCATAGAAATGTTTTAAATAAATAAATAAATAAATAAATAAATAAATAAATAAATAAATAAATAAATAAATAAATAAATAAATAAATCTTTTAAAGGAGAGCATTATAACTTTTTGTCACAAGTCCCACTGGTATCGGATAAAAACTAGTTCAAAGATTGACAGTGTTCAAGAAAACATGATAACCCATACTCATGGGTTGAGTGCAGGTTGTTAAAATGTGCATTATTGGATTGTTTGAACCCCGCTAAGATGAAAAGCCATGCTGAACAACCCACACTTCACAATACAATAGCTAACCATGGTTTCTCTTTGTGGGTTGTTCAACGTTAAGAAGCCATTGCTTTTCAGCAGAGATGGATTCAGACAACATGATAACCCATGTTTCAACAACAACCTACAGTTTAACAGAAAACCACAACTCAACTAATGCTTGAGTATGAGTTATCCAAACCCAGTTATTTGCCCATGCTAGTGTGACAGTGTACAGGGAATATACAAAAACAACAGTGCTTGATTTGATTTGATTTGATTTATTGACCTGTTCTTCCGTACAG